GCAAAGACTCAAAGGCAGGTAGACCAGTGGGAAGCTTTATAGTGGAGGAAAGGAAGAATTTCAGATATGTCTGATTTGGGGTTATTGGCATGGGAAAGCTCTAAGCAGCCTAACTACAAGTGGGGGCATCCTATGTGGTTGTTTAGGTATATATATTTGGCTTTCTGTGGTTGGTCCCAAGTTGGAACCAGGGAAGAAAATTAGGGGAGGTAATTTGGGGTTATTACAAATCTTGCCTCTTTGGGGTCAGTTTTTTAGGGTTACTGTTGGCTTCCTGGACTAGTTAGTTGCTAGAGATAGTTAGACTTCCTTGACTGATTACTGTAGATAGTATGTTGACTTCTTGGGCTAGATAATGGAGATGTTAGTTTCACTTCCTTTCTGGGCTGGTTCCTGCAGGTTGTGGGTCAGAGCTCTATTTTGATACAGTAGTCTGGCCTTTGTCCATTAGTATATTCAGACTCTCATGAAAAGAAACAGATGCTGTAAGAAAGGCAAGACGCAAACTGGGAGAAGATATTTATAGTGCATATCCAACAAAGTACTTATATCCACTATATATATATTTTAGAAACTTCAACAGTTTAGTAAAAAAAGATAACCTAATTTTTAATTGGGCAAAATGCTTGAACTAGAACTTCATTAAAGACGATTTCCAAATAGCCAATAAGCATATGAAAAGATGCTAATAGGGGGAATCCAGTGTTCATTTAATCACTAATTTAATCACTAATCATCTAATACAGATTAAATGAGATACTACCGCACCTCTACCAGGATGGCTAAAATTTAAGAATCAGTAGTACCAGGTAGTGGTATAGCTGTGGAGCATCTGGAACCCTCATATACTGCTGATGGGCGTGTACATCGGTACAGATTCTGGAAAACTGTCCGTGTCTGGTAAAACTAGGTACTTATACTTTGTGACCCAACATTAATAATGCTGGGCTTACAGCTGATGGCGAGGAGTGTTTATATCCACCAAAAGATTTGTGTAAAAATACAATAGCCAAAACCAGGAGGCAACCCAAATGGTTATCTGCTGGAATTTATGAACAGTTTGTGATATATTTGTAAAGTGGAGTGCTACATAGCAATGAAAAAAAGAATAAAGTTCCACATGCAGCATTATGATTTTCATAGGCATGACTTGAATAAAGGAAGCTACCCACAAAAGAGTTAATATTGTTTGATTCCATTTATTTAAATGGAATGATTGGTAAGAATAGATAAAACTGATCTATGATGATATAAGTCAGAATAATGGTTACTTTTTCCTGAGGGGACACAAGGGAACCCTCTGAACTATTGGAAATGTTCTATAACTTGATCTGAATTGCAATTATATGGATGTATACAAACAAAGTATCCATCGAAATAGAAATGAAAATAATTAGATATTTATTGAACTGTACACCCAAGATTTGTACATTTCACTACATGTAAGTTATACCCCATTTTTATTTATTTTTATTTTTATTTTTTGTACTTTTAAGTTTTTATTTAAATTCCAGTTAGTTAACATATAGTGTAGTATGAGCTTCAGGAGTAGAATTTAGTGATTCCATCACTTATATGTCCTAGTGCTCATCACAAGGGCCCTCTTTAATTCTTATGACCCATTTAATCCATCCCCTGTCCACATCTCCTCCAGCAACCCTCAGTTTGTTCTCTATAGTTCTGTTTCATGGTTTGCCTTTGTCTTTTTCCCAGTGTTCATTTGTTCCATTTCTTAAATTCTACATGAGTGAAATTGTTTGGTATTTGTCTTTTTTGACTGTCTTATTTTACTTAGCATAATACACTCTGTTTCCATCCACATCATTGCAAATGGCAAGATTTCATCCTTTTTTTTTTTTATAAGATTTTATTTATTTATTTGACACACAGAGATCACAAGCAGGCAGAGAGGCAGGCAGAGAGAGAGAAAGGAGGAAGCAGGCTCCCCGCTGAGCAGAGAGCCCAATGCGGGGCTTGATCTTAGGACCCTGGGATCATGACCTGAGCCAAAGGCAGAGGCTTTAACCCACTGAGCCACCCAGGCACGCCCCCCCCTTTTTTTTTTTTTGGTCAGAGTGAAAGAGAGCATGGCAGGGGGAGGGAGAGGGAGAAGCAGAAGCAGGCTCCCTCCTGAGCAAGGAGCCTGACATGGGACTCAATCCCAGGACCCTTTTTGATCATGACCTGAGCCAAAGGCAGACACTTAACCGACTGAACCACCCAAATGTCCTACACATTTCATTCTTTTTGATGGCTGAGCAGTATTCTATTGTGTGTGTGTATATATATGTGCATATATATGTATATATGTATATATACATCACAGGTTCTTTATCCATCTGTTGATGGGTATTTGGGCTCTTTCCATAATTTGGGTATTGTTGATAGTGCTGATATAAAGATTGGAATGCATATATCACTTCGAGTCAGTATTTTTATATCGTTTGGGTAAACACGTAGTAGTGAAATTGCTGGATCATGGGGTAGTTCTATTTTTAACTTTTTGAGGAGCCTTCATAGTGTTTTCAAGAGTGGTTGCACCAATTTGCCTTCCTGCCAACATTGTAAGAGGGTTCACCCTTTTCCACATTCTCACCAACACCTGTTACGTCTTTTGTGTTGTTGATTTTAGCCATTCTGACAGGTGTGAGGTGATATCTTATTGTAGGTTTGGTTTGTATTTCCTTGATGATGAGTGAAGTTGTGCATACTCTGTGTGTCTGTTGGCCAACTGTATGTCTTTTTTGGAAAAATGTCTGTTCATGTCTTCTGCCCATTTCTTAACTGGATTATTTGTGTTTTGGATGTTGAATTTGGTAAGTTCTTTATATATTTTGGATGCTAACCCTTTATCATATATGTCATTTGCAAATATCTTCTCCCGTTCCGTAGGTTGCCTTTTAGTTTTGATTTTTTTTCTTTGGTTGTGCAGATTTTTATCTTGATGAAGTCCCAGTAGTTCATTTTTACTTTTGTTTCCCTTTCCTCAGCTCGGGAGACAAATGTAGTAAGAAGTTGCTATGGCTGATGTCAAATTGTTTGCTGCCTGTGTTCTCTAGGATTTTGATGGTTTTCCTGTTTCACATTTAGGTGCTTCATCCATTTTGAATTTATTTTTGTGTATGGTATTATATCTCAGTTTTTAAAATTTCCAGTTTCAGCTCTTTTCTATTTATACCTTTCCTTAAAACTAGCTTCCTGTTTATTGTTAACTGAAACCTTGTTAAACTTTTTGTAGTCAGTCCTTAAATCCCATCAGCTCTTCCTTTAAAATATCTCCCACCCATACTGTCTCCAAACCATAACTGTACTAGAGTTTTAGCCTTGACTTCGAGCCTGCATTATTGCCAAGGACTTAACTGGTCTCCCTGCTTTTCATACTCAAAACCGTTCTACAATATGCTAGCAAAGCTCTTTCTAAAGCACCATTCAGATGACGCTAGCACTCTGATTGTGTTAATTCCTTTCCTCAAAGATCTTGAAGGAGCTCCCGTTTCTGTTGTATTAGGCTTGCATTGCATTCAAGATTCTCATGATCTGGCCCCAACCAGCCATACTATCTCCCTGTCCATACATAGTCCTCTAAAAAACTGGGATACTTAATAGTTCCAAATCCGTTTTGCTCTCTGTTGCTGATACTCTTTGTTCATGTTCTTCTCTCCCTAAATGTTTTTGCTTCCTCATACCAGCTCTACCTGAAGCCATTTCCACCTGAGGAGCTGTGATGTACTCCATGAAATCCATGAACCCCCAGAAGTTATATCCAAACATTTCTGTATGTGTGCATTTTTCTAGAGAAAGGGCTTGTCTTGTTACCAGATTCTCAAAAGGAGTCCCCAAAGTTAAATTGATTTAGTGCCGGGGCACCTGGGTGGCTCAGTGGGTGAAAGCCTCTGCCTTCAGCTCAGGTCATGGTCCCAGGGTCCTGGGATCGAGCCCCGCATAGGGCTCTCTGCTCAGCAGGGAGCCTGCTTCCTCCTCCTCTCTCTCTGCCTGCCTCTCTGTCTACTTGTGATCTCTGTCTGTCAAATAAATAAATAAAATATTTTAAATAAAAATAAATAAATAAATAAATAAATAGGGGCGCCTGGGTGGCTCAGTGGGTTAAGCCGCTGCCTTCGGCTCAGGTCATGATCTCAGGGTCCTGGGATCGAGTCCCGCATCGGGCTCTCTGCTCGGCAGGGAGCCTGCTTCCCCCCGCCCTTCCTCTCTCTCTGCCTGCCTCTCTGCCTACCTGTGATCTCTCTCTGTCGAATAAATAAATAAAAATCTTAAAAAAAAAAATAAATAAAATAAATAAATAAATAAATAAATAAATAGATTTAGTGCCCTTGTGAAGGAATACAAATGATCTTATTTTATGTTTTTTAAGATTTTGTTTATTTATTGGAGAGAGAGAGAGAGAGAGCAAGATCATGTGTGAGCAGGGGGAGGGGAAAGGAAGAAAGAACGCCAAGCAGACTCCAGCTCTCGAGGAGCCATGCTGCGCTCAATCTCACCACCCTGAGATCATGCCCTGAGCCAAAATCAAGAGTCAGACGCTTAACCGACTGAGCCACCCGGGCACCCCTCATTTTATGTTTTAACAGAATTTTTGTCTTGTTAGAAATTTAGTCCTCAGTATGGTGGGTAGTAGAACTTTTTTTAATAGATAAATTATAGTTAAAGCTTAAAGTTTCAGATGCAGGTAAAATGGCTTGTCCTCATCCATTGTTCAGGTCCCTAGACTTTGGTTCTTTTCTTGCGTGTGTATGTTAAGGAAGTATTCTTTCTTTCCATTCCGGAATGGGAATTAAATTTTACAGCCTAGATTTTCTTTGTGAGGAATTTATTTTCCTCAAAAGATACTATCTTAATATTTTTTCACTTTGGTATCTTAGGGAGAAATTTTTTTCCCTCCCACATGACTGTTTGCACAGCTAGACAATACCATCTCTGTATGCTTTGAATTTAAAAGATATTAGTCACATTTTTCAACACTTTTTTTGTTCCTGTTTTAGATTCCTATAGGCAATGGAAACTGATCTCAATTCCCAGGACAGAAAGGACCTGGACAAGTTTATTAAATTTTTTGCCCTCAAGGTAATATATCTATTCTCTTGAGCTCAGAACTGTTAGAAATAACTTCCGTGCTTCTCCCTTTTTGGAAATATAGAATAACAGCTTGCAGCTTGCCCATTTTAAGGGATACTTCTGTCTGTTGTAAACCAAACTGTGAAGTTTGGGGGCGGTACTGGGGGTGTAACTAAAAAGTAGCTTCCAATTTTCCACAGCTACTTGTTCAAAAAAAATTTTTTTTTGCAAGGCTGTTTGCAGAAATGTCAAACTATTATGCCAGGTTATTGGCACAGTATGTTCCCTTGGGGTGGGAACAAAGACAGTGGACTGGAATGGACAGCATTTCAGGCATCCTTCCCAAAGCATCAACTAACTCTGAAATGTCTGACTTCCATTTATTGTTCCCTTCTGGGTAAATGAGGAATTAAAACTGAATTTTGAATGCTTGAGAAGTTATATTTTCTTGAGAAGTTATATTTTCTTAAATCTAAAAATCATTTCCACCTCTATCACTCCTTCTCATGATTGCCATGTAAAAAACAATCCATGCAGTAGATTCTGGTTGTAAAATTAGTTGGGAGACTTTTGCCATATGGGCCAAATGATATGAATAATTGTGGAATCCTTGGTTTAAATCTACTATGATTACATAAGTGTACGGCAGTGAATATTTAAACCTACGGTTGGACTTGTTTCTTTATGAAAGTCAGAGCTACCATGTGCAAATTTCCTTCTGCCATGTGAGAATATTACAGATCCCAAGCCTTAAACTAAAATTCCTCCAATCAGTTGACATTATGCCCTCAGGAATATTTACAGTATTATTTTTGTGTTGTGGGTTTTTTTTTTAATATGTTCTTGAATTTTAAAATCCTGTCATTTCCTAAAGTGATGTTACGATCATTGGCATCTTTCTAACCCTGCGTTCAGGGGCTGTTAACCCTGATTGTGAGTCAGAGCAATTTAAGACTCTTCATCATTGATTTTTTTTTTTTTCTTGTTTGTTTGCTTTTTTTTTAGACTGTCCAAGTGATTGTCCAGGCTCGACTTGGCGAGAAGATTTGCACTCGTTCGTCTTCATCCCCAACGGGTTCAGATTGGGTAAAGTTCCTGTTTTGTTTTTTTTTTAAGGCGTGTTTGTCATCAGGAATTGTACATAGTGCAGTTGCAAAGAATACAGTTTATAGTATTACTAAATCACAACATTAATATGTCTAATTCCATTTGATTCATTCACTTGGAAAGTATATTCTTCATCAAATGTTAGCCCTAGGTTTATATGATTCTCATCTTTCTTCTGCAGTCAGGGAAAAATTTAGTCTTTAGAAAAATACCTTGTTGACTGATTTTTTATAATAAGTCATTACCTCTTTCAACCTGAGTTTCGGGGCTTTGGTGCAGGTTATCTTTTCTGGACAAGGGAGAAATGAATGGATGTCCTTCATCACTCAAAGCCAAGCCTGCATTACCCAGCATAACCATTTCACTGCTTTATGTTCCCATAATGTGCCTTGTGAGTGTTTAACAAAAGTCCCTTTTGTTTTCTAGTTCAATTTAGCAATCAAAGACATCCCAGAGGTTACACATGAAGCAAAAAAGGCACTGGCAGGACAGTTGCCTGCTGTCGGGAGATCGATGTGTGTGGAGATCTCACTGAAGACTTCTGAGGTAAGGTTATGGCCAGGGTGGTGTGTTCATTTGGACTCAAAGCTCTCCACACGCTGGTTCCAATTCAACTTCATTCCTCCCTCCTCCCTCTCTGAATTTAGCATTCTCTGAGGAGGTCATGCTTTTTGTATTTATTCTCCCAAACACTTGAAATTGGCTTTTTGTCCTCCTTATGTGTCAACTATGTATGAAATGTTTCTACTTAATCCTTCAAGACTCATGTGTTCTTGAAACCCCCTTTCTAGTGGGAGAGGTAACTACTTTCCTTAGACTTACCATATGCTTTGTTTACATTGTTTCTAAAATACAACTTGATGTATTGTGATTTTTTTAGATGTGTTTTTACTTATTTCACATCAGGATCAAGGCAGATATTGTTACTTGTGTGTTTATTGATTTATTTCCATTAAGATTGTGAAGCTGGGGTGGTATAATAAAAGGCAGTTGGAGTTTGGAGCTGCACAGACCCAAGTTCAGATCCTAGCTGAGTGACTTTGGCCAATTACCTAACCCCACCCCCACCAACACCACCAAACTAACATGACACTTCATAGGGTTTTTATATTTTCTCATTTAATCTTTATTCGTAAAGTGCCTAACATAACTTAAAGTAGCGATCATTCCATGTTCCCGTTCATACTTTACACTTTTATTCTTGAGGTCAGCAGTTACACCATATCTTACTTATTTCTGTGGTTGTTCAGATTCTTTTTGAAATGAGGCAGGATATAAATAAATAATCATCTCTTGGGCCTAGCACAGTGCGTGGATGGCACTCTTGATGAAGTTGGTTGAATGAATGATGTCGATACTTGTTCTGTGGAAACCTTAGCCCCCCAAAAAACAAATCTTCCTATTCTTCTTTATTGTATTGCCAGTTTACACTATGAATCCTTTTCCTTAGTGATCCACAGGGAGTCCTAAAGGAATCCCTAGAAGAACTCTTTCCTTTCCCAGGTGAAATCTGAGTATAAAATATTCCGATTATCCTAGACAAACTGCACCAACTTGTCTTGGATACTTCCTACTACTCATCCTCCCTTGACTCTGGGGAGCAGGGGAAATCCAGAATTTATCACGTCATTTAAAAATGACAGTATGATGAAAAAGATACCTTAAGGATACATATTTAAATTTTATCTAGAACTAGTAAGTTCTGTATTCCACAAACTAACCCAGGGTTACTTCCAAATCTAAAAGAATAGCCCTCTTCCAGTTGACTGTAATAAGGTTACTTGTGTTCAAAAGTATGACTGTCCTTCTTACTAAGTGGCACACAGGAGTGTTACAGGGTTGAGGGATTCTGGCTTTGGTTTCTGTTTTTCTTTCCCACCCACTGGACTAAGTCTGTTCAGAGTACCAGAGAAAGACTGAACAGTTTGGCTAAAGACATTACAGAGCTAAAAAGATTTTTAAGTGAGGAGCTTGTTAAGGTATTCCTTAACAGTGGGTGTCACCTAAAAATATCTCCTGTAGAATTGGAGGGAAAGGCTCTCTCCATCATCTGAAGTGTTGGCCTTTCTGAAGAGTAATTTGGATATACATAGCAAAAATCTTTGAAGCATGAGTACTGTTTAACAATGCTAATTCTGGAAATTTATCTTAAGAAATTAATTTAGGGCAAGGACAAAGTTTTAATCTCAAGGCTATTTATCAGAGTCTTGTTTGTGGTAATGAAAAATTAGGAGGGACCTATATGTCCATGTATCGGGGGAACTGGATGAAATGATGGTCATAGGGTAGAATACTACGCAACCATTAAAAATGGTGTACTATTTTACTCTAAGGAAAACTTCATGTTGTGTTTATTAATGGGAAAGTGATAAAAATAACATACAGTATAGTCTCACATTAAACAAATTTTTTTAGGTTTATTAAGTATTGTTAGACTCAACATGGGTCTTAACGCATGACCCCGGGATCAAGAGCTACCTGCTCTTCCAACTGAGCCAGCCAGGCGTCCCTCACGTTATTTATTGAAGTGGCTGATGAGTTTATAAATTGATTTTTTTCCCTTTATTTATTTTTTCAGTATTTTTATAGTGACTGAACAGTGCTTTATAATAAAAAAAAATAATTAAAACAAGTATTTTTCAATTGTCCCATCTACAGGGAGATTCCATGGAGCTAGAAATTTGGTGTCTTGAAATGAATGAAAAGTAAGTGCTCTGTCTTAGGGTCTGTGGTTGTGGTAGCTGAGGATAAAAGATGACACAGGGAAAGCAGGGCTTTTGTTACCAGTCATGGAGGGTTTCTTCCCACTTAACAAAGCCAGTAGGTCTTGGCTACAATTTGCTTCATGCTTGGCTTCCAGCCCAGGCACAGAGATGACCTTCAGCGGGAGGGTCAGTCCACCGAAACTTAGACACCACAGGGAAAAGAGCAGAGAAAAGACTGAAAAGGATTTGTTGTTTTCCCAGAGTACAGATAGTTCTCTGATTAAATCCCTTGCGAGCTCTTGTAACATGACTGCTCTGTGTTGTCTGTTTTCTGTATGGCAGACATCCAATACGATTCCCCTTCACTACTTTTTACATGCTGTGTTGGTCATAGATTGGAAATGCATGTTATTTTCCTTCTCCATTTTCTTCTTTCAAGGCAGATTAGCTTACTTCCTGCCTAAAGCTTCAGTTATATATAGGCAAATGGAGGAAATAGCAACACATCAAAAGAAAAATCTTAATAATAAGTCTGGGTTGTGGGTATTGTTTTTCTTTCCTAAGTAGAAAGCAATTGCCAGGTATAGTCTCAAATTTTAGTACCAAACAGACTTTTCTCTAGATTTCCTATTAGATATATAGAGGTAGAAAGCTCATAAGATACTATCTTGAAATTATTTGCACTTCCATTAATATAATTGCAGTGTTGAATTACTGTTTTTGAGTGTGTAGCTTTATTTCTTAGATAATAGCTTCAAAGCTAGAAAAAAATATTAGGTGCCTTTTGTTATCTACTGCCTGGTTCTAGAGCCCAGAAAAGTAAAACTTTTGCTTACCTCAATAATCTCTTGATAAACTGACAAAAACCTCTAATTACATGTTTAGTTCAGAACATGTTTTCGTGATAAATTTAATCTTCTGCAGTTCCCACACTTAATTTGCAGTCATCTATGTTGACTGTCATACTCTGTGAAAGGTGTTATGTGGACTGCAAAGCAGGTTATATTCTATCAGAATTCATGAATAATGCTAACAGACGAATCTCAGTCACTAGACAGAGCATAACACCTCTAGATCTGTTGCATTTCTGTTCTTGGTTTTATGTGAGTTGAGTAGGCGAATGCTGATTGTGTCTGTGTGCTCCTCAGGTGTGATAAAGAGATTAAAGTTTCCTACACGGTGTACAACAGACTGTCGCTGCTGCTGAAGTCCCTCCTTGCCATAACTAGGGTGACACCAGCTTACAGACTCTCCAGAAAACAGGGGCACGAATATGTCATATTGTACAGGTAAACAACATAGTGTCACCTTCCTGATTCACTCATTAGCCTTGCCACTTGGCACATCTACTGGTATAGGAGTATTCTGTGATTAATTTTGGACAGATGGTTGGTAGGATAGTTGATGCTATAGCTTCACTATGATTGTCTGTCCTTCCTCCTTTGTGAACCTCAACTTTGCGAAGCTACCAGGTTCTTTGTTCTTTTGTTCTGTGTACAGTCACTGATTCCTGTGGAATGGATTTTGAGGTTGTAGTAATACACGTCTCAAAGTTGAAAAAGGAGCTTAAGACTTTAAAAACCAGGTTATCCTGGGAAAATACCACAGGCTTCTATATTTCAGAGTTAAATTAAAACCTAACAGACTTTCAAATTCAATTTGTTGTTGATAGTTGTCTGTAGATATAAAGAACTTCTCAGTGATTCTTTGAGTATTTTCCTTGGAGTGGTTCACCTCAACATGTATTTATCGAGTGCCTTTTTAATGTGAGCATTGTGCTAGGCCCAAGGAAGAACTGTACAGAGGCCCTGCCCCGTAGGGGCCTATCTATTGGGGGAGACAGTTTGGCACATGCATAATTATAATAAAAAGCAGGATTGAAAGACTGCATAGCAGTATCAGTAGAAAAGTAGTAGGAGAACACAGGGAGGGAAAGTTTGTTCTGGGTGGGGAAACCAGACAGACTTCCTGGAGGAAGTGGGATTCAAGTTAGACCTTGAGGCAGAGAGAATTTCAGCTGGTAGAAGTGAGGGAGAATGATCATTCCAAGTGGGGAGTGTGACAGATGGCAAGGCATAGAAGTCGGGGACGGGATATGAGCTGTGCTCAGTTTGTCAGATGGACCCTAGTGGTGGTATAGAAGATAAGTAGGAAAGTGTGAGAGCAGCACATGGAAAGCCAGGAGTTCCCAGATGACCCAAGACTTTTTTCATGTTAGTGATGAGCTACTGGTTTTAGCCTTTGGCTTATAGGTATAGAGCTAATTGTGAGGAGAAATTAGTATAGCAGGATGGAAAGACTAAGGATTAGAGCCTCAACTAGTTAAGCTAAACAGTCTACTACCGAGAGTAGTTATCAAGTCATTCTTAAATTTTCTTAGCAGTAATAAAGCAACCCTACCCATGTTTGTTTATTTTTCCGAATCTTTTTTTTCCCTAAGATTTTATTTATTTATTTGACAGAGATCATAAGAAGGCAGAGAGTCAGGCAGAGGCAGAGGAAGGGGGAAGCAGGCTCCCTGCTGAGCAGAGAGCCCGACTCGGGACTCGATCCCTGGACCCTGAGATCACGACCCGAGCTGAAGGCAGAGGCTTAACCCACTGAGCCACTCAGGCGCCCCTGTTTTTCCAAATATTTTAAATATTTTTGTTGTCTTTCTGTAGTCTTTAGGTTTCAAGTTGAGTATTCCATTTGAAAATTACTAGACCTTTATTCAAATATAGCAAAAGAGGGATGCTTGCGCGGGGCTCAGTCAGTTAAGCATCCGCCTTCAGCTTGAGTCATGATCCCAGGGCCCTCAGATTGGGCCCCACATCGACTCCTTGCTCGCCGGGGAGCCTGCTTCTTCCTCTGTCTGCCACTCCCCCTGCTTATGGGTGTGCTCTCTCTATCTCTTGACAAATAAATAAAATCTTTAAAAATATATGTATATAATGAAAGATCACTTCTAACTCTTACTTCTCACTTACCTATACCAAGCCCCCTTCATTTTGGTTCTTTTGTAAGTAACCATACTACACTACTAGTCATCAACTTAATTAACTAGGACTTTTGGTCCTTTCATTACCAATGTTTAAAGCTTTATTCTCTATCTCTGGAGTAAGGCAGGATTTATTGCTCACTGTTTATTATTTAGGAGTGCTTTTGGATACAAATAATATAGTTTAAACCATAGAGAAGTGTGTGATCTCAGAGGTAGATTTGGCTCCCTCCCACCCTTTTCTATACTATTGTGTTGTGGTTTTTTTTTTTTTTTTAAGATTTATTTATTTATTTATTTTTAAAGATTTTATTTATTTATTTGACAGATAGAGATCACAAGTAGGCAGAGAGGCAGGCAGAGAGAGAGGGAGGAAGCAGGCTCCCCGCCGAGCAGAAACCCGACGTGGGGCTCGATCCCAGGGCCCTGGTACCATGACCTGAGCCGAAGGCAGAGTTTTTAACACACTGAGCCACCCAGGTGCCCCTTTTTTTAAAGATTTAAAAATTTGTCAGCAAGAGAGAGAGAACACATGTGCACAAGTCAGGGGGAGGGGCAAATGGAGAGGGAAAAGCAGGCTACCTGATGAGCAGGGAGTCTGACAGGGGGTTCGATCCCAGGATCCCAAGATCATGACCTGAGCCGAAGGCAGACGCTTAACTGACTGAGCCACCCAGGTACCCCTAAACAATCGTTAACAGGTTAACAGTATAGCCTTATACCATTAAAGAATAGCTTTCTGGTTTGTATTTTTTTTTAAGCTATATTATCATTTCCCCCCTGACTTAGTAAATTTAATCATGTCACTGTATAATTACATAGTTATAAAAATTCATTCTGAATTTGTTGGTTCATTAAGACTGAATTAAAATTAATTGTTGTCTGCCTGCTATCTGTGAAGAAAACTTTTGCTTAGCACCTGAATGTCATAATGGATACAGCCAAGAAGGTGGTTAGATAAGCATTGTACCAATTACCAATATTCAAATGAGTACTGAGCTTTTTTTTTTTTAAAAAGGATTTTATTTATTTATTTGAGAGAGAGATCATGAGCAGGGGAAAGGGCAGAGGGAGAATGAGAGAGAGACAAGCAGTCTACCCCAGTGACCAGGGAGCCCGACGTGGGGCTCGATTCCAGAACCCGAAATCACAACCTGAGCCGAAATCAAGCGTTGGATGCTCAGCCGGCTGAGCCACCAAAGGTTGCAACAGAATGTCTTCTGGCAGCTTTTTATGGACATTATTCCTGTGTTATTTTATAGCAGGAGTCAGCGAACTATGGCCAGCAGACCATCTGCTTATTTTTATAAATAAAATTATTTTATTATTTTTTTTAAAGTTTATTTTTTTTAGTAATCTCTGCACTCAACATGGGGCTCCATCTCATGACCCCAAGGTCAGGAGTCTCACACTCTTCTGACTGAGCCAGCCAGGTACCCCTAAATGAAGTAATTTTAGAACACAGCCTCCCCCTTCATGTATGTAGTATCAGTGGCTACTTTTGCAGGACGACAGCAAAGCTGAGAAGTCTGTCTCAGACTGCATGGCCTGCAAGCCTTAAATATCTGGCCCTTTTCACAAAAATTTGCTGACTCCTGCTTTATGGCGTCTGTCCCTTTTGTGCATGTATTTCAGAAATTAAACACGTTTCTTTTCTCTCATACCAAATTATAATTTGTGAAACCTGGGTTTCAGATTTACCCTGAATCTCCTCCCTAGCTTATTCTTATCTCACACCTAACACCTAACCATAGGGCTTTGTATATTGTTGGAGCTTAGTTTTTAGTTGAACAAAGCCATGTACATGTTTAATTTTTAACCGTATTACCAGGAAAGTATAACAGTGTTTTATAGTGTAGTTTGTCATGTTTTATAGTTCAGACCTATAGCTAATATAGACTGCCTTTCCCGGGGAAATTCAGAGAAAGGTCCTACTGTGCTTACATTTTTGTATTTTCAGAATAAATAGTCTTGTGTAATTCTTCTATATTGGAAAAGATTTTCGAATTTCTTAACCAGTTTACTTTGGAATGACTTGTGACAAGCGTAGAGAGCTCCCCTAATTGAAGACCACTCTCAAAATATGGTACCTTCTATTGCATATTTGAAAGTTGCCATACAACACCCGGTGGTCATCACAAGTGCCTTCCTTAATGCCCATCACCCATTTAACCCATCCCCCACTCACTCCCCTTCCATCAACCCTCGGTGTATTCTCTTTAGTTAATAGTCTCTTATGGTTTGCCTATCTCTCTGTTTTTATCCTCTTTTATTTTTTCCTTCCCTTCCCCTATTTTCATCTGTATTGTTTCTTAAATTCCATATATGAGTGAAATCATATGGTATTTGTCTTTCTCTGACTGACTTCTGAACACTTTGCATATTACAGTCTAGTTCCAGTCACATCATTGCAAATGGCAAGATTTCATTGTGATGGCTGAGTAATATTCTTTTATATTATGGAATATATATATGGAGTGTATAATGGAAATAAATATGTATCACATTTTCTTTATCCATTTATCAGCTGATGGACATGGGGGCTCTTTCCATAATTTGGCTATTGTTGATAATGCTGCCAAAAACATTAGGGTGCATGTGCCCCTTTGAATCAGTATTTTTGTATCCTTTGGAAAAAATATCTAGTAGTGCAGTTGGTCAGTTGTACAGCTATTTTTAACTTTTGAGGAACCTCCATAGGATTTTCCAGAGTGGCTGCACAGTTTGCATTCCCACCAACAGTGTAAGAAGGTTCTCCTTAAGAAAGAAGATCTTAAATGTTCGAATCCCAAGAAAAAAACATTCTGTATGTATGGTGATGGCTGTTAACTGGACATAACTGTGATGATCAGTTTGTAATATAAACAAATATTGAATCTTGTACATCTGAAACTAATAGATTTTTTATGTTGAACATACCTCAAAAAAATATATAGTATTTTGGAGCTCCTGGGTGGCTCAGTGGGCTAAGCCTCTGGCTTCGGCTCAGGTCATGATCCCAGGGTCCTGGGATCGAGCCCCACATCAGGCTCTTTGCTCAGCAGGGAGCCTGCTTCCCCCTTTCTCTCTCTGCCTGCCTCTCTGCCTACTTGTGATCTCTGTCAAATAAATAAATAAAATCTTTAAAAAAAAAATAGTATTTTCTAATAGTGGTTTGAGATCTGTTTGCCAGTCTTATTTCTATATTCTTTGTTCCCCGGGAGGTATACTTTAAAAATACATTGCAGGAACAGGAAGAAGAAACTAATGCAGACTCTACTTTCTTATTATTTTCCTTACTTCTTAACAAGTTCTTTCCAGGGGCACCTGGATGGCTCAGTGAGTTAAGCCTCTGGCTTCGGCTCAAGTCATGGTCTCAGGTCCTGGGATTGAGCCCCACATCAGGCTCTCTGCTCAGCAGGGAGCCTGCTCCCCCACCCCGACTCTCTCTGCCTGCCTCTCTGCCTACTTGTGATCTCTCTCTGTCAAATAAGTAAAGTCATAAAAAACAAAAACAACAACAATTCTTTCCATATATATCCCTAGGCCTGCAGCTTCATTGAAGTGGTAACATTATTGCTTCATTAGGAGAGGTATTCATGCAGATAAGAAATGAAGGGTTTGTTAAATTGTTTTGTCTATAAGGCCCTTAGAATAAAGAATCATTTATTTTGAGGCTCCTGGGTGGCTCAGTCATTCATCATTTGCTTTCAGCTCAAGTCATAATCACAGGGTCCTAGGATCAAGCCCCGAATCGGGCTCCCTGTTCGATGGGAAGTCTGCTTCTCCCTCTCCCACTCCCCGACTTGTGTTCACTTGCTGTGTCTCTCTCAAATAAGAAAAAAAATCTTCGTGAAAAAAAAAAAAGATCATTGATTTCTTTTTCTTTTTTTTTTTTTCTTTCCTAAGGATATATTTTGGTGAAGTTCAGCTGAATGGCTTAGGAGAAGGTATGTATCAAAAAGCATTTGTAGTGTTAAGAGCCCTCCTGACTTCAGAGATGGCCTTGGGTACTGGCTGTTAATGTGTAGCTTGTGATTTTAATATGTGTGACACACATAAGGAAAAGACAGGAAGGTGGTCCAAAGAGCCACCAGGGGATGACTGAGTCATTTTGCCCAGAGTTCTAGGAACTCAGTATCTTTCTTACTCTTGATACCATTGCCTGTTCTCCTAATTTTCTATAATGAGCATGTTTAATGTTTCTAATGAGCATAAGCAATTTTGAAAAATTGGAAATGAAACCAGGAAAACCAGCAAAGCTTTGTTGGAAATAACGCCTCCCAGGCCCTGGTTCTTTTCTATACTTAGTTCTGGGCGGCAGCATGAGTTGAAGTGCAGTCACTTCCGCACCTGCATAAACCGAGGGGTTCGGGTGATAAAGCCCCGGGGCCTCTTTTCTGTCTCACAGAGCACGTGACACCTTGAGGCTGGGTTGATTAGAACTTGCTCAAACTTTAGGACTAACATCCTAAAGAGGACAGTTGTTTTGCCTCTTTGAAGGTCGGTTTATCTGGAAAGAGAATGCTGTTTTCTCTTCCAATATTGGGTCCAATATAAAATAAATTTTTAAAATTATGTATATACACAAACACACACATAAACATAAAGGAAATTAGGTCCGCTACACTCATGGCGCAGAGTAGATAAAGCCAGAGATTGTATGATAGGCTGAATGATTCAGGGAAGGCCAGACTGGGGACAGTGTCAGTGTTCTCTGGGGGAAAAGCTAATTATGTATTTCTTCTCCTAGGTTTCCAGACAGTTCGTGTTGGGACAGTAGGCACCCCTGTGGGCACGATCACTCTTTCATGTGCTTACAGAATTAACTTGGCATTTATGTCTACCAGGTGAGGAGAGAGCCTTGGAATCCAAAAGAACTCTTCCAAAGATATTCAAGATATTAAAGTTCGTTTGTCCCCTCAAACTCTATGGCTAAGCCCACAGTTCAGCTTTGCCATTGCTGAAATCTGCCCTTCTGGAAAATAAACTCGAGAAAGAGCCGCGTTTCCAGATGGGAGAATCTGAGTGTCTCGGAGCCATCAGTGTAGAGTTGTGGTTTATATTTAGGGATGCAGTAGTTAAGACTAGAGGTTCCTTCCAGTAGATTTAAGGCGAGGGGTCCTCTGAAGACTTCAGGGGGTCTGACAAGACATTCTAACAAATATTGCAATCTGCTTATTGCATTACAGGCAATTTGAGAGGACCCCACCTATCATGGGGATTATCATTGATCACTTTGTGGACCGTCCCTATCCCAGCTCCTCACCCATGCACCCCTGCAATTACAGGTGAGGAATGTGTAGGGGCTTTCCCAGACTGCAGCTAGGGAGAAGCATCCATCTTGCACGCAGAGCACCTCCATAAGCACTCGCCAGTGGGCAGGGGGCAGTGCTGGGGACCCCACATGGAGAGCAGTGGTGTGGTTAGCTTCCCTCCCTGTTGCTACCTGCTCCCTGCCTATAAGGTACACCAAGCTTTGGAATGTATAGACTGTCTCAGAAAATTCTTGGGCATTTTGGATCTTGACGGTAGTAATTTGACTTCCGATTTGATTTTACTTAGAGACTACAAGAGTGGCAGTAATTAACAGAATGTCCTTCACAAATTAAATGGTTTTATGGTCACCATTGGCACAGTTTAGTTATAGATTAGAATCCAATGTCTTCAGGCCTAGATCCCAGAAAACAGAGTTCTGTAGAGGTCAGAACAGATGTTTATTAGGAAAGATACTGCCTTTACGTGAAGGACTTTTGAAGTTGGATAGGTTCATCTTTGGAGTCTAGACTTTGTTTCACTGCATCTCTAATTGCTTATAGTTCTTTGGTCCCAACACTGGTCAGGCTTAAGAAAATATTATCAAATGACATATCAGGTAAAATGTTTAGGTTAAAAATAAAAGCCTTGGTCAGCCTCTAGATGTTTTTCTCTGGATATGTCTGACATTATCAAGGACTCAACACTCCTCTTTTGCCATAATGAGCTCTGCCTGAAACACCTCTTGTCACAGCTTTCATCTTTATCTAACCTCCCTTTGTATCCTTTCTGAAACTGACTGCTGTGACCATAAAATTCATGATTTATTTTCCCGCGATCATAGAACTGCTGGTGAGGACACTGGAGTAACATATCCTTCTGTAGAAGATTCTCAAGAAGTGTGTACAACCTCTTTCTCCACCTCTCCTCCGTCTCAGGTACAGGGAAACCGTTCTGGGGCGGCTCTAGTGACTTAGTACACATATGGACTTGAAATGTGTCAGAATTTAGATAGTCTCTTTTGGTGGTGGTAGTGGTGGCCATTGTTTCCAGGGGGTTGTTTTGAGGGGTGAGGGAGAGCCTTCTTATCTAGCAGGTAATATTGCAGTGTTTCTAGTCTATAACCATGCTTTTTTTTTTTTAAGATTTTATTATTTATTTATTTATTTATTTGAGAGAGAGAGAGAGAGCGAGAGCTCATGCATGTGCGCACAAGCAGAGGCCAAGGGGTGAAGGAGAAGGAGAGAGAATCTGAAGCAGCCTCTGTTTTGAGCATGCAGCCCAACACGGGGCTCCATTTCACAACCCTGAGATGATGACCTGAGCCGAACCAAGAATCACGTTTAACTGACTGAGCCACCCAGGTGCCCCTCTAGTCTGTAACCATTCTTAACCCATAAGATTACATGTAACCTTTACGTTCCTGGAGACATTGTAAAATTCCCTAGAAGAGGAGTCCTAGAATTCCAAATGCATTGTGATACCAGAGAGGTATTCTATCCTACTCTTGTTAATTTGGTAGCTGCTTCACTTTGGAAGTGGTTAATATGTTTCCTCATAATGGAAGGAGCACAAAAGGAACCAGTAATTATTTGGCATAGATGCCAGTAAGAAACCAGCAGTGCAGTCTCTGTTCATAGTTGACACAGATTTCTGGCTATCTGCATTCTTAATCTGAACATTTTAAACCATTAACTTTTCCACTTGAGTCCTTCTCCAGTGTCAAACTCAGTTTCAGCGGAACACAGGCTCCAAACAAGGTTCCCAGCTTCCCAAGCAGACCCATCTGGGTGGCATTGTTGTATAACGTACGTGGTACCAGGTCTGCTTTAGCAAAGGAGTCGTTTGTTGCCAGATGACTGAATTTCAGGGCATGTTTCTTCCCTTCCAGCCCAAGTCATTCATCTCCCACCTTATGGCCTACAGCTCTCTGCTCTGCCTGCTCATCCTCTCTACCACTCTCTTTCTCTCTGATTTGCACATTAGACAGTTTCTTCTAGACCTAACTCAGTTCTGTGTTCCTCTAAACTGGTCCCAGATTATCTCCTTTAACCATCTTACTTTGGGAGTCCAACAAATTAATTCACTACCCATGAATTTTTATTTTCTGTTTTTTAATTAAGAAAATTATTTAAATTTACTTCATTCTGAGTTGTTGGGAGATACTGGATTATAATTATGGTTCTCATCTGTTTCAAAAACATAAGTTAAGCACAAAAGTTAGCTGAAAAAAAAATGTGTGTGAAGGAAATGACAAAATCCATTGGTCTCTGTTATTTCTGTTGTCCCAATTTAGAGTTAAGGAGGTTCTTGCTATAAAGTTGCCTAGACAGTTTGGGTGGGTGGGGGGTGGGACCTGTTACTCCTCTCCCCCAGTGAAGGTATATAGGCATGAGTGTCACCATTGCTTTGGGAGGGGGTAGCTTCTGGCACTCTTGCTGACATAGAACAGTACTGACCCAAAAAGAGAGGGAGGTCCACCAGAGCACATTAGTGCAAGTAGATTATTTTTTAGATAGTCAAAGTGTTGTTTTATTTTTTAATTTTTTTCATTAGAGAGAGAGTGAGAGCATGAGGAGGGCAGTGCTTAGAGGGAGAGAGAAGCAGACTCTCTGCTTAGCAGGGAGCCTAATGCAGGACTCGATCCCAGGACCCTGGGATCATGTCCTGAGCCAAAGGCAGACGCATAACCAACTGAGCCACTCAGGTGCCCCCATTTTCTTTTTTTTTTTAAGATTTTATTTATTTATTTGACAGAGAGATCATAAGGAGGCAGAGAGGCAGGCAGAGGGAGAAGGAGGAGCAGGCTCCCTGCTGAGCAGAGAGCCCAATGTGGGCTCGATCCCAAGACCCTGAGATCAGGACCCAAGCCGAAGGCCAAGGCTCAACCCACTGAGCCACCTAGGCGCCACCCCCCCCAAGTTTTGTTTTAGAAGTGATAAATGCATGAACAGTAAATGAGGTTGTAACTTGGAAGATAACAAGGATGGTGAGGCTGGGGCTTAACAAATCAGTTTGTCTCTTTCTCGAGTACAGTGGAAATTTGACCTGACCCCAAAAGTAAGGGGAAGTTAAGTAGTTACTGCATCTCCCGTTCGCACAAAGTCGGTTGACCTGTGTAAGGGGAGCCTGTCTTTCTCGTGGTATCAGTCGCCTGCTGTGTCTTGTCACAGTTTGCAAGTAGATCGTGCCAAGATCTTATCAACACTGAGCATCCCATGGGTGAGCCTTCTCACTACCCTCTAAGTACCTCTCATTGGGGCTGGTACAGTTTGTTGCAGAAGTACTCATTGTCTTTTTTTTTTTTTAAGATTTTATTTATTTATTTGTCAGAGAGCAAAAGATCACAAGCAGGCAGAGGCAGAGGGAGAAGCAGGCTCCCCTCTGAGCAAGGAGCCCAATGGAGGACCCAGTCTGAGTACCCTGGGATCATGACCTGAGCCAAAGGCAGCCGCTTAACCGACTGAGCCACCCAGGTGTCGCAAAGTATTCATTTTCAACCTTAGTGGCAGAACAGAAAGAGAAAATGATTTGCCAGCAGGTCTCATCATTCCTGTAAATACTGAACTAGTTTCTTCCTCGATTTAGCCTAGGGAATTGCATAACTGTTCAACAATTTCTATTTGAGCTTTTTGCTAGAGTCCAGTAAATGCATGTTAATGTGGTATTTGTTTTCCCAACCAAATACGGACCATTGTGTCATGTGGGCACAGAGTTGAGTCAGGAAATAGTTGTGACCCTGAACCTGCTGCTATGATTTCAGGTCCGACCTCCAGTTCTAAGCATTAACTATCTAATTGGTAAGACTTAAAGATAGAACAGCAAGACCCAAAATAATCTTTTTTTGTTTTTTTTTTAAAGATTTTATTTATTTATTTGAGAGAGACAGTGAGAGAGAGCATGAGGGAGGAGAAGGTCAGAGAGAGAAGCAGACTCCCCGTGGAGCTGGGAACCCGATGCAGGACTCGATCCCGGGACTCCAGGATCATGACCCAAGCCGAAGGCAGTCGTCCAACCAACTGAGCCACCCAGGCGTCCCTTTAAGAGTTGTTTTATTTTTTTAAGATTTTTGTTTTAATAGCTTTTTTATTTTTTATTTTTTTAAGATTTTTATTTATTTGGCAGACAGAGATCACAAGCAGGCAGAGAGGCAGGCAGAGAGACAGGGGGAAGCAGGCTCCCTGCTGAGCAGAGAGCCCAATGCGGGGCTCGATCCCAGGACCCTGAGATCATGACCTGAGCCAAAGGCAGAGGCTTAACCCACTGAGCCACCCAGGCGCCCCGAAATCTAAGAGTTTTTTAAAGTGCCTCGGCTTTTACTACATCATGTTCTCCTTCACCATGTGGGGCTATAAAACACACACACACTCTCATGCATGTGCACAGGCAAGCGTGCATGCATACACACACATACACACACACACAGTGCCTACACCTGTACTCACCAATTCATCCTGCCTCAGATGGTGTAGTCAGGTGTGCAGCTGGGTACCTGAGCATTTTTTTTAAGATTTTATTTTTTTAAGAGAGCATGAGCAGGGGGAGGGGCAGAGGTCCCCCCCACTTGGCACAGAGCCCAAGGTGGGGCTCAATCCTAGGACCCTGAGATCTTGGCCTGAGCCAAAGTCAGATGCTTAACCAACTGAGCCACCCAGGCACCCTGGACCCAAGCATTATAAAGTTCCAGTCAGCAAATGTCTGTTGTTTGAACGTGTCCTTACAGATTCTGGGTCCCCAGGAAAACGTCTCCAGTCTAGCATTGTACCCTTGGGTCTTCATCCTCAGCACGCCTTGCACCTGCTCTCATGCCTGACCTGGCCCTCGCTGCTGGAGGCCATTCTCTAACACCCTTCCGCCTCTTTTGACTAAGAACACACTAATGCTTGGTTTTCCCTGTTGCCACCAGCTTGCCTCAGCTTTGTTTTCCACCTGCTCACCGTGTCACCTAGCATGCAGTGGAGCCCCCTGGGATAAACATGCCTCCTTCAGACGCTTCCAAGTTGTCCTTCTAGGGAGGCAGCCATGTTGCTCTCTCCCTGCCACACCCCCGACTTCCCGAGTGCAGTTCGGCCCCTGTGGCTGTCTCCCCTTCCAGAGTTGTTTTCACTTCTTTCTCAAGTCCCGTTTCTGTTTTCTTCTCTTGTTTCTCCTGTCTCTGTGTGTATCTGTGCACAGTGTGTGTTTACTGTCACAAAGGCACATTTTCAGACCCCTACTCCTGTGGTGATGGACACTCTGAGGGTCCCCATGGCAGGACTGGCCTTTTCCCATCAAGTGAGTCCATACTGGGGAGAAGGGGCTATACTCAGGTGGCATCTTTTTATTTAAAAAGTATGCATAAAGTACAGGGGATAGCTATTTAAATGTCCCCAAGTGTTCTGGGGGTTATTTGAGGTTTGGTAATTGATTTTTAACAGGCTGCAGCTATAGCACAGCTGCCCAAAATAGGATGTTTCATTTGCCCCTCCTCCTACCATTGATGTAAAAAATACATGGAGTTATTTATATCTTATTTCCAAATAAACAATCCAAGAGTGGTATTCTTTCTTTTTCAATATAAATAGGAACCCTCCCATACCCAGGGGTGATGGAGGGTGTGATTAGGGAAGAGGCCTTCTGTTTCAAAGGGACCTCAAGGACAAAGGAGAAAATAGAATGACCTGGGAGAAACCAATGACTTCGGCTGCAAGTTCTGCCCAGGCCTGTGCGTCACCAGTCCTTTGGGCTGGAAATCTCAACAGTTAGCTGAGCCCCTGGGGAAAGGGGGAGCAGGGAACTCATTTGAGGCCTTTAGAAGGCTGCAGAGCTGGGAATGTCAGTCCCATTGCAAACGAGTCTCTGCTTTCTTAGCCTTAGCATAATGGCCTGGTCTGTCTTTAACCCTTACGTCTGGACCCCCCACCCCAACTGTGAGGGTGTGGGCTGGGATCCGTTCCTTACCTCTCCACAATCTTGATCATTAGTCATACTCTAGGATTGCCTATTTTTTCCTCCTCCTTTCTTCTGCCCGTCTTTGTTTTTCTCTCGCTTAGCTCTCAAGCTCTCGCCTTTCCTATCAGCCTGCTGCCCTGGGCGTTGGATCAGCTGACCTGGCTTACCCAGTAGCATTTGCTGCTGGCTTAAATGCCACACACCCTCATCAGGTATCTTTAAAGATGGGGAGGACCCTGGGGGTTCCTGTGCTGCCTCCCCTGCCATGTGGCAGGAGAGGGGCCTCATCCGGCCCAGTGTGATGCTAAGTAACTTCAGAGGGCCCAGGTGACTCCAGAAGGAAGAGCCTCATATAGTTCAGAAAGGAAGGAAGAGCTTCCAAGGGTTTTCTCCCTCTTTCCTTTCCCTTTGTAGTTCTTAGCACGCGTGTCATGTCTCCTATTAGCTGAGTCCCAGAGAAGACATAGATCCAAGGTTTCCCACCCATTTGGTGGCAGCACTGGCGGTAGAAAAGCACAGAGGCAGCTACCATCACGCTAGGCCAAGTTTCCCGTCCTGTCTGACACTGCCGTTACTCACGATACTCTTCCATTTCCCCCAAAGCTCATGGTTCCTGGGAAGGAAGGTGGGGTGCCCCTTGCTCCTAACCAGCCTGCCCACGGTGCCCAGGCTGACCAGGAGAGACTGGCGACCTACACCCTGTCTGACGGGGCCCACTGTGCTGCCACACCTTCCGGCAGGTGAGTTCGCAGTGGCCAGGGGCCCATCCTCCCTGACATGTGTGCCTATCTGGTGTCAGTAAAGAGTCGCTCTCAGCATTGCCTCAGGCTTGGCACTTTGGCCCCAAATGTGGAATTCTTAAAGTTCTTGATAAGAATCTTACATTGCAGCTGGTATGTCAGGAAGCTGCCCCAAGCTTGCTAGTAACAGCCAACAGCCAGGGCCTGCTTCTTATCAGGGTCATCCAGTGAAGGGGATGTGCGTGCATGTGTGCATGCGTGTGTATGTTTCTCTCCTCTTACCCCCAGATGTATTCCCTTGGAGTCAGTCCTCAGTGTTTCCTGAGGACCAAAGCAGGGGGTCTGCCTTAACCCTCAAGTTTGGGGCCACAGTGGATCTGTGGTAGTAGTTAGGATTGTTGGGTTTTTTTTTTTCCCTCTGCTGTATTAGTACCTCTTGGAGTACCTTAGTTGTTTAGAAACAACTGTTTTTCTTCATTAAAAAAATTTTTTTAGATCTTTGTCTTTTCTGATTACAGAAGTGATACATTCTATAAATTTCATATTATGATGACATTGATGAGGTAGAACAGGAAAGTTCTCAGAATCCTGCCCTGCACAAATCACCACTGTTACCGCCTCTTCAAAACTAAGAGGCTCTCAGAGGGTTAAGTGATTTGCCAGAGAGCACTTAGCTCCCAAAATGACCTGGCGCAGGCTGAGCTCCTCTTTCCCTCTCGCTTGGAGTTCTACCGTGGGAAGATGAGGCTGTCCTGACCTGCTCTGCCCTCCTTTGACCGCAAGGCCCCAGAGATAATGACGTTGAATTGCCCCACCGCATCCTAAATGGACTTTTGGATAATAGAAATTTTTTTTTTTTTTTCATTCCCACAGTGGAGCAGTGGGGGGAAAATTATTTGGGAACATCTTTCTGTGCTATCCACCAGGAAAAATAATTACTTTCATTCCTGGCTTCCCAAATGTCCATCCTTTTAAAGCCTTCCCCGTGTCACATAATCAAAGGAAGAGCCCGTTAGTCATTTGACACTCCAGTTTTCTGAGCCTTGATTCCTGGAACATGTCTGGGAGTAGCTAGAGATAGAGGACACTGTCTCTTCTCTTTGGGGTAAGGGGTTCTTAAGTGCAGGTCATCAGAACTCAGGCCTTTCCTCAGTACTGGTCCTTCCTGCCAGCTAGTGTCCTGAATCCACCTAGCCGGCTCAGTCCTCCTCCCTACCTTAAGCCCCTGCTTTTGGCCAGAGGACCTTTCCTAACCCCTGCTGCTGCTAGGGCTGTGACTACTGGCCTGGTGGCCCATGGAGGGGACACCCTCATTCCCTATCATCCACAAGTCCACATTGGTCTGGAGAGCTGGAAGGGGAGGGAGTGGGGCAGCCAAATGAAGCGTGTCATTGAAAGAGACCTTGCTGAACAGAGGGTTGATTGGGGACGAGGAGAGGAAACGTGGTATGCGGCGCAGAGGACCTCAGCCCGGGTGATGTGTCATGGGCGGAGAAAGCTCTGGTTATCTAATGAGCCAAATTTGGGACTCTCAACTTAGAATAACGACACTGCCCCTTGTGAGGTAAGGCTTAAATTAACACAGTACCATATAAACACCGTAAATGATTCCTTCTTATGGTAATTTTAGATAACAAAACAAGAAGGCCAAGAAAAGCTTAAAGCTTGTGTCTGCCTGTGTCATAGATTACTATTAACGTCACAGTTGTTGACGGGCGCTGCTTGCCTGTGTGTCTGACTGCGGTATGCTGGTGACTGATGCTTACCGGTGGTATTTCAGATTAAATTTAACGTATGCTTCACACAGTTGCGGCGCCGAGTCTCATTCACGTGTGCCTCATTTTTAGTTGTTCTGGAGGTTGGGTTCTCTGCCCCCAACTCAGAAGGGAGAGAGACAGTGGCAGCAGCCAGGCCCTGTAGTGCCATTTCCCACATGGGTCAAGAGGTCGGGGGGCGGCGCTCATGTCCTGGACCGCAGCCCCACCGATGCTGGGTTTGTGGGCAAGCGCACGGGCTCTGTTGCGGTTTGAGGAGGAGTACCAACACTGTGTTTCTTCTGCAGCGAGGATACTGAAACGGTATCAAACGGCAGTGAGGGCCGGGCATCCCCCCACGATGTGTTGGAGACCATCTTTGTCCGCAAAGTGGGGGCTTTTGTCAACAAGCCCATCAACCAGGTGATTTTTCTGATGCTGCTACCTGTGAGAATGTCTGAGCCTTTAGAGTGAGGCCTTAGGGGCAGGGCTCTTCACCTACGGTCTGTGGGACCCCTAAAATCATATGCAAAAGTGTGTGTGTGTGTGTGTGTGTGTGTGTGTGTGTGTGAATTTTTTGGGAAGAGGCTTAGTAGCCCGTGACAGCCCTCCAGAAGTTCACAGCTCTTGTTCTGAGATCGAGCAAACCTCTCACAGGAGAGGGACGCTAGGCCCCATTTGGCACACTCAGCCTGCACTCAGGTGTCAGGGCCTCAGCCTTACTCGGAATAAGTTCCTCCTCAGCTCTACCAGCGCAGAAGAGTTGTTACCCAGTCACTGCGGGTCAGGCCTCCAGAGCTGATTCCCGGGGTCCTGGGGAGCCCTACCCCTGTGGATGTTGTGGCTGTGTGATGGGAGCGGGGAGATTCCGGGTTCTCCAGCAGGATGCGAACCTGAGGACGGTGTGGTCAGCCTGGGTGTGCGAACCTGCTGGACTGACAGGCTGCTGGCTGCCTCTGAGGAAGGGAAGGTGGGGCAGGGACGGCCTCTGAAATTTCCATGTCTCTTAGGTGACCCTGACCAGTTTGGACATCCCCTTTGCCATGTTTGCTCCCAAGAATTTGGAGCTGGAGGGCGCTGATCCCATGGTGAGTCCCCCTTTGACTAAAGTTAACAGACGGTGCTGTGCATGTCACCTTCCCGGGCAAGTCACTGTTCCTCCGCAGGCTTGCAGCCGCGCTCCTGGGCTTGCAGATTTCCAGCCAGCGTTGGGTCCCTTACAGGTCCTTTGATCATTAACACCCGCTTGCACCAGGCCTGGAACCCGCCCCTACCTCCGCCTTGTTCTCAAACAGGTGAATCCTCCAGACTCCCCAGAGACCGAATCTCCTCTCCAGGGCAGCTTGCACTCAGATGGCTCCAGCGGGGGCAGCAGCGGCAATACCCATGACGACTTCGTCATGATCGACTTCGTAAGTTCCTGTCCCCTTCTTGGACCTTTGCTGCGATAGGGGAAGTAAACCTAGAAGCATCCAGTGACTTGAACAGGACTTCCTTTACAGGGATCAGACGGGCTGGTCTGGACAGAGGGGACGGGATGGGTGGGCATCTGGCTGTGTGGTAGAACCTGTCCCCACACCCTGCTTGGGGACACATTTGGAGGCCCATGAACAAGAAGGCATTTTGTGACAAGTCTTCGGTTGAAATTCAACTCTAAATGATTTGCCAGTGGTAGCCATGCAGGCCCTATTCCTGCCTGAATGGTTGGCCCTTTGTTAAGGAAAGGAGTTTGAGGGAGGGGAACATAAACCTTACCAGGGGAGAAGAGTGTTAGCACCAGGGCTAGAGTTCAGCTGCCCAGAGGAGAAAGGTACAGAGAATCCTCTCCTTGAGATGAACCCGGAGGAACCCTTTCTCTCATAATTACTGGAAGTAAAGAGGGCGGTTCATAGCTTCTTTCCCCTGATTTTCCTCTCCCACCTAAGGCAAGCTAACCTGAGTATGTCTTGTTTTTGAAGAAACCGGCTTTTTCTAAAGATGACATTCTTCCGATGGACCTGGGGACATTCTATCGTGAATTTCAGAATCCTCCCCAGCTGAGCAGCCTCTCCATAGATATCGGGGCACAGTCCATGGCTGAGGACTTGGTATGGAAACCCCTTCCCCCGTCAGACCTCATCCTGCGACCTCCTATCCTCTTTTAATGGTCATTCCTGCTCCAAAGGCCTAGAAATTTCTTCTTGTTCCTCCCTCCCACTCCCGTACCCCCCATCTCCTCTGTAGCAGGAAAGAGACACTTAGATCCTTATCTTCTGTTGCTCCCCCTTGAGGTTGCACCGTGTCTGGCGGTCACTGTCTTCACGTTGCTTCCACACTCGCCTTCCATCCCTGCTGTTCGGTGTCTTGGGTCTTCTGCTCGCTGCTGCTGTGAAGCTGAGCTGCTCCAGTAGCTCCAGCATTTAGCTGTTCAGCTGTCGGGCAGACGCCAGCGGTACAGGGCAGAAGTGTGAGGTCCCGAGTATTGGCATTCCTGCCCTTTCCTCGGAGAGCTCATTCCTGATTCGGCCAGCACTTCTCGAGTTTAGCCAGATGTCCTGCTATTGACTGTGATCTCCGCATCTCTGCTTAGTGCACTTCCTGTGTCCAAAGGACCCAGGAGCAGGCCACACGGCTGTAAACTCCGGGTGCTCTGTGCCTCCACCCAGCCTGTCTCTGGGATGTCCCCGCAGCCTCTGAGTCTTGTTGTAAGAAAATTCAAAGATGGACCAGACATGGCGGTTGAGTGGTGCAGGTGAAGAGTTTATTCTCGTGAGAGTACATTCAAGACGAGAGTGGGCGAGCTCGGGAGAGCTGTGCACCCCAGGGTTTGGGTCTCTATCTTTTATTGACAGTTGTTAACTGGGGTGGGGGGGTAATTTATTATTTGGAAGGTGGATTTCTTTGGGAGTAGGTTTTCACACCTTTTCTCCCTCACTCGGTCAGGGTCTCAGGCCTTCTTTGACTTTGGCCTCTCTGGTTTGATCTGGCTTCTTGCGCTTTGTTTTTGGAGTATGGCCAGCGGGGACAGGCCTCCAACTTTCCCCATAGCTGTCCCTCACTCCCCCTTTGCTGGCCTCCAGGCATCCTGTTAAAACCTAACTAGCTGCTTCCTCTAACACCCCAGGATGTCAGGGCCCCTCTACCTGAGGTGGGACTGTCCCCTTCTCTTCAACATTAGAGGAATGGCTTTGTAGGAGTAGGAATCTTGAGATAATCGGCCCCTGATTTGCTCGAAACAGAAAAACATGCTCAGTAATAACAATACTAAAACAATATCCTTATTATTAACATCTATTGAAACTTTCTACGTGCCAAGCATTTTTCTAAGTGCTTTGCATGAATCTTCAACAATCCTGAGGTCGGTAGCTTTTCTTCCTATCCCAGTGTACAGATGAGAAAACTGACACTGGAAACAGATAACTTGCCCCTGGTCACACTGAGCTGGCAGCACACAGCTTTGATCCCAGAGAGTCTGGCTTCTGATTTTAGGCTTTTAGCCCCTGGCTCCCTGGCTTCTCACTGGAAACATGCTTGCAAGAACCCGGATGGCGACTCTGCTGCCAGGAGTGGCCGGTCGCTGCCGCCTCCTGCAGCTGCCCTGCTGCTCCCAGCCTGTCCGGGCCGCCAGCCGGTTCTGGGGCGGGACAGGCCACGTCTCCCCAGCACCTGGCGCCCAGGGAATCTCTGCAGGTGCCTGAATAGGGTCACATTTTCATAGTTGATTCTGGAGGGCAGTTAAACTTAACTCCTGAGGTTCTGTTTTCTACTCTTGTTTATTGTTTTCTCTCAATCGTCTAACGCACCCTTTCTCAGCGGGTGTAAAGATGCCAGTTCCTAGGCCTCCCCACAGACCTGCTGAGTCAGACTCTCTTGGGAGCATGGTTGGGATGGCCTTGTTCCTGTGGCCCCAAGGGATTCTGCTGCCCAGCACAGGTCATGAAGAACTCCTGTTAGCTTTTCTTATTCTGTAGCGTGCTAAGCCTACTGTTCCATTCCAGTGTCCGTCTCATCTGTGCCAGGGGTAACTTCTCTGCGTCATCCTGTCGTTGGCAAGCTCCTTCTCTAGCTCGTTAAGTGTGTGGCCCACTTGGATTCCCTGGACCATTCTGCCGATCCCCCGGGTCCCACAAGCCCACTGTGCAGTGCCTGCCTCCCTGCCCCGTGCTGCTGCGCTGAGCTCTGTGCTCTGCTCCCTTCTCCAGCCAGGGCAGGGGCCTGCACGAGCTGCCTCTTCAGGACCCTGCTTGAATAAGCAACTCTTCTCCCCCCTCCCGGTGCAGGACTCCCTACCAGAAAAGCTGGCTGTGCACGAGAAGAATGTTCGAGAATTTGATGCCTTTGTAGAAACCCTGCAGTAAAAGTTGGTGACCTTGGGTACCAGCAGCATCCCCTTTCTGTGGTCCCAGGAGACAGAGCCTCCCACTCATCAGCTGCTCCCATCCCTCAACTTGCTCCGGGCGGAGGAGAGGCTGGTTTCCCCCATGGGGACCCGCAAGTCCCTGTTCTCACACCTCCTGGAGACTCCATGGCAGCAGTCAAGCCTGGGGATAGCATCTGAGAGGACTCACACCCTGGCCTTGGAGATTGGAACACCCTGTATAACCAAAGGGCTCTTGGCAGGGCCTTCTGCTTCCACCGCCCATCGCGGCTGCTTCACAATGGCTGTCATCCCGCTCCTCCTGCCGGCCCCCTGCCCTGGGTCCACTCTGCAGCTGGCCCCTTGCTGGCCTGCCGTTACCATCAAGCTCTTGACATTCCGGCTGGTGGCCCTGAGCCTGGAGTGGAGAAGGAAAAGGAAGGAAACAGTGTTGGGAAGAAGAAGGAAGGGCTCCTTCAGGCTCTTTTATGGTCCCCTTTGGTTTGATGTCTTCTTCCTCTCACCTTCCCTCTCTCTGCCCCATTCCTGTACTTTTGGCAATATGACAGGCACCCTGCCCAAGCTGGCGGGAACTCCAGACTCAGCCATTCTCACTCTTGAGGGTTGTGCCAGCCCCTCTCCCCGCAGAGGGTCTGAGCAGCCCTGGTGGCTGTCTGCTCAGACCCTCAGCGGCATGAAAGCATAATCCTAGGTCTCCAGGAGTCTCTCATTGGGAGTCACAACGAAGGTTCCTTATCTCTCCTTCCTCCCCCTGTTGCTGCTCCTTGGTTATTAACATGGTAAATATTTATTACTTTCAGAGAAATCCGATATTTTATAGAGAAAATATGTTTGAGGTTAGATGTTTTCACTTGGGGAAAGGGGAGGGCCTCTTCCTGGAGTAGGGCCTCCTCGCCTGGAGGTTCCTCGGATTCTGGGTTGCTGCTTTGAGCATCTTCCTTCCCATATACCTAAGGTGAGAGCCAAGAATCGGGCTGGCTGAGGGCAACAGAACCTCCCAGAATCGCTGCACTTGAACTGACGATAGGCTTTACCTTAGACTCCTGCATATTCCTGGTGAGAGTGTGAATCCGTCCCAGCTTCTGCAGAGTAACTGACGCCATTCTGGCAGTCCAGGAAGTCTTGGGTGCTGAGTGTGTACAACCCTCTAGAGTTGTACAGTGACATCGAGTGCATCATATGGGCCCCACCGTGGCCCTGGGGAAGGCCAGAGGGGCCCCTCCTGGGGAGACTTGCTCCTGTTTCTCAGGGTTAGGTTATGGGCCTTCTCTTTCCACCTGGGCCTGGCCACCACCTTTGTCTAACCCTCAGCACCCTGCCCTGAGGTTTACTGGATGGATGGGTTCCTTGTTGAGAAACCAAAGCTAGGTGTATGATTGACTTAACCATTTAGATATTGTTACGTGAGTCAGTCAAGCGCCTAGCCTCACCTACCTGCCATCGGGCCCTCCCCCAGCCTCCCTGGTCGTCGTGGCCGGCAGCGGGAGGCGGGAGGCGGGGGGCGGGGGGGGGGGGACAAGGCCCGCCCCATTCCTCCTGGCCCATCTGGGCTATTCCTTGGCGGCAGCTGTTCTGAAGTGGAGCAGGTGGTCCTCAATTTCTTGTTAGTAAATGCATGTGACATTGTTCCCACCTACAAGGCTGAACCCTGAGGGCTGGAGTGGGCTGGAGGCTGTCTCAGGTGGGCTGAGCCCTGCCCCTGTTGCATGCATCCTGCTGCCGCAAAATGTCCCCAGCAGTGGTGTCCAGCGGGTCCTCCTACCCGGGCCAGAGCGTACCCATGGCCTGCTGAACCATTCCAGATTTACGCCCCAGGCCCCAGTGCTGAGAAGGGGGAAGCCCTGGTAAGCTACTGCTCGCCCCTGCCCTCACGTTCTGCCACAGTGTCTCAGCTGCTGTCCCTCTGAGGCCAAGCACGGAGAGGCCTGTTAGCCATTGTCCTCTTTGACACCTGATTGTGGCTTTGCAGACGGCAGCCTTCCCTTTAGGACCCCATCAGTGAGGCCAGGGAGGCTGATCCCTGAGCGGAGCCTGGGAGGAGCAGAGCAACTGTCAAGGCTGGCCCTTGCCCCTCGGCCCCAGCACTGACCGGGATGAGCCCTAGACTGACTCCCGCAGCAGCCCCTGGGGAAAGGCTGGGACCCGTCACCGGGCTCCCGGTGGCAGAGTCCCTCCCCCTCCTCCAGCCCACCTTGTTTGGAAATACTGAGCTATACTTTAAAATGTATTCAAGAGATTTCCAATAAATTTTTTCTGTACTTTACAGCCTCTTGTCCTACCAGTTGTCTAAAATGCTAAAATCCCACTTGTGTGTGGGCCCTGGTAGCCAGCGGGCCCCCTCCGCGGAAGGAAGAGCGTGGATGTGAAGTGCAGCCGAATGGCTTCGGGGTCAGGCAGGCTGTTCTGAGTCTTGGGGCTTGGCCACCTAGCAGCTGTGCCACCTTGCGATGGTCAGGAAACTTAGAGCTCATTTTCCTTGACTGTGCTGTTCCCAGTTCAGGGGCTCGTGTGTGATTAGTCAGCGAGACACTGTGTGTGAAGTGGACACGCAGAGTAAAGCTCCTCAGACGAGGCCATCGCAGTCGTCAGCTGCTTGTTGCCCCCCACTCAGCCTGGAGGCAGCAGCCTCTGGTTCGGAGCAAGAAAGATCTGCCAGGCCTCTTCCGTGTTTCCAGCAGGAGCGGATGGGGAATGTGGGCCTCCCTCGGGTGCTGCTATCTGTTTGCTAATCTGGGGTGAGGAGTTACGTGCTGAGCAAACCAGACAGGGCAAGGGGCGGAGTGAGGGATCCAGAAGTCCACGACCAGTATGTTTAGCTGCCCGGATCTGCCAGACAGCTTGAGCCAGGCCCTGGGGTGCTCCCTGGGGAGTCAGGATGCCGAGTAGGTTATTCCTGCCTGGCCCCAGGGGGCTTTTCTGGCAGGCCTCTCAGCCCTGGTAAAGCTAGGTCCCGCCTCCTGATCCGTGGCTGTGCCGTGGGAGCCGGGGGTGGAGCCAGGGTCCCAGAGCCAGAGACAGTCCTAGAGGCAAGGGACTAAAGTTCCTGACAGAAGGGGCAACTGTGGTATGCATCGCCTCCCTGCCCCACTTCAGGCTGAAGCCAGGGCAGAAAACGGTGAGAAAGTTCTAATTTTAGCCCAAGGCTAGGGCTGAAAAGGAGGCTGCCCACGGCTGTGCTGTGCTGTTGTGGGCCCTGGGAGCCCTAGCTTGTTAACTGCCTGGCATTGGCCATGATAACTGACCGTGCAGCCAGTAGGGACAGAGTTGCCCAACCCCTGAGTCAGAAATGGTGAAGAGACTGTCCCTGTGTCTTCACCTTCAGTTGGGATCCGCCCCCCCCCAAAAATGAAGTGTTCACTTGCCCTGTGTCTCATGATGGCGTCCTGCCCCTTTAAAGCCTCTCTCCCCAGAGACCTGCTGTTGCCAAGGCAGGGGTAAACCCGCCTTTGAGTCACTCGGCAGAGGCCCTGCCAGGAGCCCAACCCGAGTAAACAGCTCTCTTGGGCTGATCCCCTCTCAGAGTTTCCCTGGGATACTGCTCCTCTGTGGTAAGCAGTCGCCCAGTTTAGGGCGGGGAGGAGCCGGTCGGTGAGAGGCTTCCGGGGCCTTCTGCCTGGCCTGTGAGGGCCACTTGGGCGACGGCCTGGCTCCCTGCGGCTCAGGGCCTGTTTGTCATCACCAGCTTTACACCGCTGCTCAATCCTGCAGCTCTGGCCCTGCTCCCCCCCCAGCCAGAGCAGGCACAGAAGGGAAAAAACAGGCCCGACTGAGGCCACCATCACCTGATTACAATCAACAGGCAGGCAGCAGACAGGTGCAACTTGACCTTGACCACTATGCCCAGAGAAATTCTAGCCTGCCCTCCCAGTGACAAACCATGGTCTTTAAATTGTGGTAAAATACGCACGTAAATTTTACCATCTTAAACTTTAAAGCACAGCAAAACCTACTCAAGAGAGAAAAGGAAAATTGGTTCTCTCCCTAGCCTCGGTGGGACTGGGTGGCAGGTGGAGATAGCCAAGGCGCTCAGGCTGAGGGGAGGGCGGGGAGAAGCGAATGGTCACACTTCCAATCGTAGTGTGGCTTCCAATCGTAGTGTGGCTTCCAATCGTAGCCGCTACACGAGGTTGGGACCATCTCCTCATTCCCTTGTGAAACAGCGGTCATTCTGGTCACCACTGGGCACTCGCTCTGTAATGTCCTGTTTGCATCATTTTGGAGCCTCAGAAAGGAAGAGACAGTCTTCAGGTGCCCTGAGGATATGGTGGAGGGTGATGGCACCAGGACTCAAGCCCACACTCCTGGCATCACAGTCCCCTCTGTTTAGGACCAGAAGAGGCCTTGGTCATGGGACACTGCCCTTGCCAGCCCATTGGGATGTTGCACACAAGCCACATGGGGTCACCATCACACGTTCAGGCCTGGGCGATGTCAGAAAGCGGCTTCATACCCACTCCCAAGGGAACGAGACAAGGAAGGACGGGGTCAGGGGGACTGCAGAGGGGACTTCCTGAGGCCCCACCTGCTCGGCTTCCACAACCACACACTTCCCGCCGTCCTGAGCCTCCGGGCATGCTCCCTAACGTCCAGGTGGGCAGTGTTCCATCATCCTTTTTTATTGAAATACAAAAAGTGCAAAGGTGAAATACATGATTGGTGCCTAGAAGTTACTAAGTGTGAACGTGAACACTTGATTCACAGTACTCTCCCCTCCCCCGGGTAAGACCAGTGCGACAGGGGACATGAGAAAGACCAGAGAGATCTACGAGGCTCCCCAGTAAATGGGGCTGTGCAGAACACCTGATAGACAAAGGAGGACAGAAAGCAGAAGCCTGACTCAGGCCAGAGACGCAGGGAGCCACACAGAACCAGCAGCTACTCCAGGCCCAGGGGAGTCCTGACGTGCCACCGTCCTGGGGGGAGAACCCAGTGAGGTCAGGGCCCAGGCCACACCCACAGTGCAGATGGGGCTGGGCTGGTCCATGAGGGCCCCCATAGTACAGGCTCTGGACAAGGCTAGGGGGGCAGGGCCACTGTGCAGGTACTTCCCTCTGCTGCCAGGGGACAAGGCTGCAGGAAGTGGGGTCCCCAGCGTTCACCAGGAAGGTGTGTAATTCTAAGGAACACAGTAGGAATGAGTACCAATCATCCAGATCCAGGTTTTCTGAAAGATGACAGGGCCCTGGGGCCCGGAGACCCTGGGGGACGTTGCTAGAACTCCCCCAGCAAGGGTTAACTTAATTAGCAAGGTCTCTGCTCAGCCTCTCGAGGAGTCACTAGCTGGAGGAAGAAGCCACAGGCCTGGTGAGTCGCTTCCAGCCAGAGCAGGGACCAGTGTGACCTGTGACCCCACCACAGATCTGTCCACAGTTAGGCTGAGGATCTGTGCAAGCGGGAAGAGAGGGGAGGCAAGGCATGGGGGGCTGAGACTGTCACTGGCCCAACCAGACACCGGAGGCTTTTGGGCAGGAATGGAGTGACTGTTTCAAATGGATGCTGGGCTCAACCCTATCATCCAAGCTGCCAGTCCTGGCAGAACCAGGGGGCTGGGACATCCTGGGGGCAGTATCACTTGAGAAGGGCTGACCCAGGATGTGTGCAAGAGAAGCAGGCAGAAGCAGGAAGCAGACTCCGGCCTTGCCAGTCCTTAGCCGTGTCAACACCCAAGGCTGAACCTCTAGAGGGGAGGACAGGAGCAGGTGGTCGCACACAGGCCTTCACCCAGGCAGGGAGGTGCCTCGGTAGGGCGGGCCCAAGCCAGCCCAGCTCAGCTGCTTATTCCCCAGCGGCTAGAAAGGGAGGACCAGGCCCAGCTACCAGCCCAGCTGGCAGTGTGTTAGGCCTCCTCGGTAGCCAGGAGAAGAGAGGCAGGAGAAAGTGGGGAAGCAGTTGCTGGGGCCAGTCTTCTTCCCACTGGAAGAGCCAAGGCCAGCGCTGCAGAGCCTGGCTAGGAGCCAGGGATCCAAGGAGGCAGTGAGAAGTATAAGGCAAAGAATAATGTCCCGTAGTTACAGCGCGGCCTCTGGGGCTGGTGAGGCGGGCTGGACAGAGTGGGAGGAAAGGCTGCCCAGTTGGCTGGCCCCAGCTTCCAGCTCCCAGGGCCTCACGGCCCCTTCCTGGGCAGGAGCCCCACGCCCCCATAAGGCTGAAGCCAGGAGGAAGAGTCCCCGTTGGGGCTCTCCGAGAAGGGGCAGCAGGGCAGAGCTCAGAGGCCCCTGGAGTCAGGGCTGGGGAACAACTCCCCGTGGTGATCCAGAAGGAACTTGGTGAACGTGTTGATGGGATTAATGGCTTTGAGGGTGATGGCAGCATCCTTGGCCCACAGCAGGTTAGGGCCGAAGACAACAGCCAGGTTAGTGTTGGTCATCTTGTTCTGGTCACAGTGGGCAGAAATCTGTGGAGGGAATTGGGGCGCTCCAGCAGGAAGCCACGGACCCTGCTTCCCATGCCCAGGAGCGGTGGGCTGACCGTTTCTTCTCCCGCCCTCCTCCGGGCGCATCTCAGAGGCCCTGGTCTCACCTGCACCAGGAAGGCAATGAGGAAACGAAGCACCTGGTAGTTCTCCTCAGGCAGTGCCCGGAGTGCCTGCAGCGTCGCCTCCACTCTCTGGCTCTCATCAATGTCTGCAAGGAACCAGGGCCCGGGTCACAGCAACCGGGGACACGAGCCAGAACCGAGACACCCCCCACCCCAGCCTTTTCTTGGCGGACAGGCCAAACCTGCCTGCTCTGAGTCCAGGACTGACCCCAACCCAGCAGAAACAGCACAGAGCAGGGGAGGGAAGGGCAGGGGCACTCACTGAGGAAGCCCACGACATGGGGGTACAGGTCAAAGGTGAGCAGGGGCTCAGGAAGCTCCCGGAGGAAGGTCTTGAGGATGACCGCGGGCAGGTGCAGATCATTGTACTGGTCGAAGTCCACTGGCAGCCCTAGGGCGGGCGGGGGGGGGGGGGCGCGGTGGTGGTGGGGAGGAGTGGGCCTAGCCTGGAGGCTAAGCAGAGCCCACTGCACCAGCACCCCCCACCCCACTGTGGAGCCTCCTCTCGCATAGGCCTTCCCTCTTGCTCTGTGATGAGGGGACCGGGTAGAACCGGGCCCCCCAGTATGCACTATAGTGACTCCTGAAACCCGGGACCCGGAAGCCTGATGGATGAGGCAGCAGGCCTGGGACAGCCAGGCAGGAGTGGGACCCCTGCAGTCGGGCCAAATGCCACAGAATGTCTAGCAGGAACAGAACATGGGGCCCTTGCTCACAGGGGAGCAGAAAGCAAAGAGGCCCCCTCACAGTCACATACATGTCCCCAGCTCACCAGTCCCCCAGGATCCGTACTGCCCCTGTGACCCCGGGCACAGCCCCTGACCACTCACCCATGTTGTACTTATGCTGTACTTCCCGTACCACTTGGGTGTTGGCCGACCTCCGGAAAATCCCCTCAGTGGTGAGAGCTGGGGAACAGCAGGGCCCCGGTGAGTCTAGGCTCCGGGGCAGGGCGTAGACGCCTGGACCCGCTTAGTCTCGGGGCTCCAGAGAGGGTCGGTGTAGGGGCCGGTGCACGTGGGGCCTCTCGGCCCTCCCCTGCAGCTTCCCGAGGGGACCTGGGAGGCCGAGCTGAGGAGGGGCCTGGGGTCAGGGCTGAAGGGGAAGGGGCAGGTCCTGGAGGCCCTGTGGCCAGCGAGTGGCCTTGGCACTCACCGTGGGCCTGCAGGTGGGCAACGGTCTCCCGGAGCACAAGCGGAATGGGCTCCTGCTCTGGGTTCTTCTCCTGGAGGCTGTTAGGAACAGGGGCAGTGAGCAGGGTCTGCCGCCCTCTGCGGCCCCCACTGGCCAGGCCTGCCCGCCTCTCCCCTACTCACTGCTGCAGCGAGACCCCGAACTGCTGGTTGGGCAGAGGGGGCCGTGGCGGCATGGGCTTGGGGGCGGTGGCAGGGCTCTTCTGTGTGGATTTGAGGAAGTCGTCATACCTTGGGGAGGCAGATGGGAGGGTCAGGCCACCGACCTGACTTTGCAGTCACGTTGGCAACCCTCGCTCGTCAGGCGCTCCCTGTGCGGCTGCACAGGGTCACGTCACCCAGGCCGCCTGGCAGCGCTGCACGACACACGACCGAGCCGGGCAGGGCTGAGGGGCTGCAGTCACAGAGCTCTTTAAGTGACAGAAGGGGGACCTGAACCCGCGCTCTCCGACCCCTGCGCAGGCTCTTCGTCGCTACCTTCACCCCCTCTGCTCATCCGGGGCTGCTTGAAGCTCCCTCCCCCTTGGCTGGCATGTCCCCGGGCCCCTGCGAGCCGGGCACGCACTTGAGCCCCCGCCCCCGCCTCACTTGAGCACTTGGCGAGGGATTCCCAGTTGCTCCAGCTTCACGTGCTCGCTCAGCTCCCTCAGGTAATTGACATAGAAGATCTTCTGCCCGAACTTGAAGCTGCCGGCAGAATAAAGGGCATGGGTAGGCACCGGTGGGCCCATTTTGGCAGGCTTCCACCTCCCCCTCAGCAGCCCCCCGGAGATCAGACACAGCTGGGCCCCATGAAGGCCTGTCCCCAGAAGGATTGGCTGCCTCAGGCGTCTGATCCAGAGTTCCAAGGGAAGCACGGGGAGGCCGTTGTCCTCCCCGATCAGCCTCCTCACCTAATGATGGGCTTAAAGAGGATGAGCAGGGTCTTGATGAACATGGTGGGGTGCACGATGTACAGGGCTTTAATGTTCTTCTTGTACCTGCAGAGAGACACCAGGAACTCAGCAGCGGGGGTGGTGCGAGAGGCACAGAGCTAGGTTCTTTGGGTGCACTTTCTGATCTGCGTACTCAGGGAAGGCCTGAGAGTTAAGTGCCATGGTTGTCCCATTTTACAGACTAGGAAACAGAGTCTCAAGAGAGGTCACAGAGCAAGGAAGTACAGAGACTGGGATTTAAGCCCAGGAGGTTTCAAATTCAGGTTCTTTGCTTTTACCCAGGGCGGGCTTGGGGGTGGGGGGAGGGGGGACCTGCCTCCTCCCCCCCGCCCCACATGGAATAAGATCCTGCGCAGGCAGAGGGCAGCGGTCCACAGCCATTTACCCCCAGGCCCCAACCCACTTGCGGTCAAACTCGCGGTAGGCGTCCCGGAGCCAGCTGAGCGAGGGCTTGTTGTCGCTGGTCAGGCCGTGGTGCAGGTAGAGCAGCGTATAGTCGCTCTCCACGTACTGGTCCAGCGTGTGCTTCAGGTACCTACAAGAGCAAAGCCCCACTCAGGCCTAGCCTCGATTCGGCGGCGGGGGGGGGGGGGGCTGGAGGCACGGCCTGGCACTGCAAGCATCCCCTGTGTCCATCCTCCACCTCCCCACGAGCCCCTCCTGCACTGCCTGTTCTGGCTGCGGAATCACCGGCTCCACTGTGTGGAGGAGGCTCCGGGTGGTGGCTGGGCTGGGCGGAGGAAGAAGAATGAGAACAGCAGCCCCGGCCAGAAACGAGGAAACCAGGACTGGAACTGGGGCCCTCTCGCATACCCTGCAGAAAAATGGGAGTAACACTCCCTATGGGACCGCCCCGAGGCGATCATGATGATGACAGACACCATTCATCAATATTTTATCTTGTAGTGTCTGCCAAGCACTCCACATACATTATCTCATGAGTTCCTCTTAACATCTGGGGCTGATTATCCCCTCCTTAAACGTGAGACCAGTGAGGCTCAGAGAGGTTAAATGCTAAATCAGAGTCACCCATCTTGCTCTGGAGCCTGGAGCTGAACTACAAGTTCACCCTGCTGACCTGACCACACAGGCAGGCATGCACAGTGTTAAAGCTGGATTATTACTGCTCCACAGTAACCGAGCCCTGGACACACTGAAAACTCCACAGCTTACAAAGGGCTGTGACATTAAAAGACAGCATTCTGTAACTACAAGACAGCAAAAACTGCAGTGACAGTACAGTCATCCTTTGCTGGATGTTATGACCTTTTGGAGGGCAATAAAGTGATGTTTATCAGAAGCTAAAAAAAAGCCCATGCTCTTTGACCCGGTAAAAATATGTCCAGGAAGCCACCCTAAAGAACAATCGGAAATGAGCAGAACTGTTTTTGTAGAAGGCTGTTCACAGCAGCCTGTTTTACAACGGAAAAACATTTTTTGAGCAGCAAGCTAACTGTTCAGGAACAGGGAATTGGTTAAATACATTACAGGCCATCTAGAAATAGGACATCTTGCGGGATGTTTCTGCAAACAGAAGCAATCTGTGAAGTCAGGTGTCAAGAGAGTGCTTACCCTCTGGGGAACCTGCTAGAAGAAAAAAGGGAGGTCTGTGGGTGTGGACAGGTGTATTCAGTTTCTGAAAATTCGTCAAGTGGTACGCCAATAACATGTTTTTTTTTTTTTTTTTTAAGATTTTTTTTGACAGATCACAAGTAGGCAGAGAGGCAGGCAGAGAGAGACAGGAGGAGGAGGCAGGCTCCCTGCTGAGCAGAGAGCCCGACCCGGGACTCGATCCCAGGACCCTGAGATCATAACCTGAGCCGAAGGCAGAGGCTTTAACCACTGAGCCACCCAGGCGCCCCGCCAATAACATGTTTTTAAAAGATGTCTTGGAAGTGTGTTTAGTGCTCAGAAGGTAACGTTATGGGGGATAGAGGTGACTACACAAAGATTTGTTTACATTATAGAAAAAAAATAGGTGAATACACGAAAATATTAACTGTAGTTTTCTCTCCGGGTGGTAGGTTCATGGGAGATTTTATTTATCATTGTCTGTATTTTTTCTTTAAAGCTACTTACATTTTTTTAAATCCTTGAAATCTGTAGTACTTTACAAATGTATACGATGGCATTTCATGCATATTATCTTATGCCCAAGACAACCCCGTGAGGTGGGCACAATTCTTATTTTTATAGGATTCAGAAGAGAACTGCCCCCAAACACACAGCTGGTAAGAGGCAGAGTGAAGCTTAACTGGTCTTTTGAATCCAAGCTTCGGGCACTTTCTCTTCCAACCCCCAGATGTGGCTGGATGGCCGGGAAAGGCCTCGGCTGCGATAATGAGACTGACCCGCGAGGAAAGTGCTGCCCTGCAGGCTGGGGAGGGGGCGGGCAGGAAGACCCCCTCTAGGAAGGGATGGGGGGACAGACAGGACAGATGGCAGAGGGCTTCCAGAAGTCAGAGGAAGAATGGAGCGGACTCACTCAGCAAGCGCTCTCCTGAAACCTGGGTGCTTTCCCATCTCCTTCCTCTGACTTCCTCCCACTCCGACTATTATCTGGCCAGGAGTCTGTCACCTGCCAACTCAGTTGCTGTGAAGGGTAGGGTGTGTGACTCAGCCGCCCTCAGGCCGAGCTCCCTGGCCTGTTCCTGGCTGGGCCATGTGATGGGCCTCAACAAGGCTCTGCCTGCCTGGCTGGGGGGCGACAGCAGAAGGGCTCCAGAAGCCTGATGGAAAACTCCCACAAGGCTGGAGAGCCTCAGGCCTGGCTCATCAACTGTGGACTCTGCACTCAGGCCCTTCCCCTTCTGCAGCCGCACCCCTGGCCTGTCCCTGACCCCTCCCCTCCCACCCCTACTCTGTTCCCCACACAGCCGGTCCCTGACCCCTCCCCACCCCTACACACCCACCCCCCCACCCATCCCCACACAGACTGTCCCTGACCCCTCCCCACACACCCACACACCCACACACCCACGCACACTCACACACAACCATTCAGGATCCCAAAGAGCTGGTATGGGCAGCGCAGCCACCTTCAGTTTCGGGGAGTGCTTTAAAGAGACGAGGAAAGACGTGCAACACGCTAACTGCACACACACAAAGGGGCCTCAGGAGAAGTCCGCTAGGGCTCTGCCTCCATGGATGTCGGGCATGTGCCGGCAGCCCGCTGCAGCTCAGTAATGAATGCTCATCAGAGCAGGGTCTGGCAGGCGCGCCTGGGCGGTGCAGTTGGTTAAGACTCTGACTCTTGGTTTCGCCTCAGGTCATGATCTCAGGGTCGTGAGATCGAGTCCCATGTCATGCCCCGCGCTCAGCACAAAGTCTGCTTATCCCTCTCCCGCTGCTCCTCCCCCTTCTCTCTCTCTGTAAGATAGATAAAATCTTAAAAAAAAAAAAAAATGGGAAAGAACAGGTCTGTCAAATTCCTGCTTTCGATCGGCTTTCAGACTGGCATTCAATTTCTAGACCAGCCAGAGCTAGTACATGTATTTGCCAACAGGACCCAGACAGGTACAGAGGCCACTGGCACCAAATTTGGCACAAAAAACCACAAATCATTCATGTAAACGATGAACTGTAAGCATAGCACAAGCGACACGTCGTCCCCACCAGCCCGCACTGGGGGACAGTATTTTACTTTTCCAAGCATGTTTGTGGGCACTATCTCCACCCTATAAGGAAGGAGGGCTGCATTTGGACGCCCTCAGTGAGGGATGAAGACACCTGCCAAGGCTGCAGTTCCCCTCCCACTCCGACTACAAACAGGTTGGACGACACCTAGCCTGGTGCTCTCCCCAAAATGTAAAGAAGAGCTCCCTTGGGAGGAGAGGAGAGGCGTGGAGGGAGGCAGCTTGGTACCTCTGGGTACCACTGGGCATCAGGCAATGGTGGGGGAGGGGGGTCTGGTCACCTGTCCCACCACCATCCCTGTGGGTACTCACCCCAAGAGTTTGCTGTGGTCCAGCTGGTGGCTCGGAGGCATCCGGCAGGCACTGAACACAATGATCTTCCGCCCATACTTGTCGTCTCCTAGGTGTAGAGAAAGTTGAGCGGTGAGTGGAAGATCAACGGAGAGAAGTGGGGCGAGGAACTAAAGGGTGCCAGGCCCAGAGACCCATGCCACGTGGTAGAGGGGCCAGAGCGGCCGACACACAGCCTGGGCAGCTGTCTGCACTCAGGCATGTGCTGCTGAAGAAAGAGGGACAGGCTGCTCTCAGGGCTACTGAGCTGGGGTCTAAAAAAATAACGTTAACTCAAAGTCCCACCTGGCAGAAACACCCACACGCCCATCAATGCGTGAATGGCTAAAGGAAATGTGGTCTATCCATGCAGAGGGATGTGGGTTGGCTACAAAAAAGGATGAAGTACTGATCCATCCTACATTGTGAATGGACCCCGAGAACAGGATGCTAAGTGAGCTAAGTGAAAGGAGCCACACCCCAAAGGCTACCTATTGTATGACTCCATTTATGGGAGTTATCTAGAATAGGCAAATTCACAGCACATCCGTGGCTGCCAGTTGCTGGGAGGAGGGAGGTTAAGGACTGGCTGTTTCTGGTTACAGGACCTGGCGTGGGTAGGGATGAAGCTGTGTGACTAGACAGAGGTGGCTGCACCCCACTGTGAAGGTCCGAAATAGCACCGATTGCGCATTTTAAAATGGTTAACTAAAAAAATTGAAAGTCACACCCACCCAAGCAATTGTGACCTTGCCAAACAGTCATCTTAAAAGCCCATGAGTGTTGCAGAAGCATCGCCTCTCAGCAGCATGCATTTGGAAAGCGTCTTGATGCTAACTTCGCGGCAAGTCCAAGGCCATGGAGAACATGGGAGTAATGACACTGGTCTCATTTTTGACCACTAGCAGCACTTCCTGATTTTATTACTAGGATTACAACCACACTTGGCTCTGACTTCTGGACATTCCTAAAAATCATATCCTTTCTCATTAAGGATATTCGACAGAACATGGAGTTCAGAGGCATTTGTAATGCTTTGGAAAAATGCTTGTTTGGCTGTAATCGCTCAGGGGTGTTCGTCTAAAACTGGTCACTATTTGATGGTCTGATCATCTGGCTTTGTTGGGAAGCCGGGGAGCTACTGCCCTCCAAGGTGAGATGCTCTTCCCGGGTCATACAGACCAGGGACACCAAACAAAGCTTGATAAGGACAAGGCTTGGTCCCCACTCCATGTCCCAAGAACCCTCCCTGCATCTTTACCTTCACGCCTCTCCAAGGACACCATACCACAACTGCCTAACTGTCATTGCTTCAGAGGCAAATGAAAATACTTATATAACTCATGAAATCGCATGGACTGTGTTCTCCACCCACCTCTGTGGACTAAGGACCACCCCTCCCCCAAATGCCTTGCTGAGTGTCCTTCTCCGTATTTAGTAAACCATGATCTTGATGCTTCTTCTCGGTCAGTGACTTAACCCAGGAGTCAGTACTTTTCCAAAGTGGTTGCCAAGGCTCTGACCCTTTTCTGTAGGGCTGAGGCAGGACTCATCAGAGGGGCTGAAGGAGGTTTCTGGAATGTGGACAGTGTGGCCCCAGGCCCTGCTGGCTGCATGGCTTGGTGCGTTGGCCTGATTCAGCACCTCACTGCCAGCAGTCTGACTACCATGTCCAACCTCTAGATCAGCCCCTCCAACCAGCCCATCTCCACCCAAAATACCCCAAGCCTAGGGAGAGGCTCTGCTCTTCCATCTGAAAGCTGCCCCAACTTCTAGCTTTGGAGAATGACGAACACTTACCTGCCCGCAACTCTCCTGCCTTGAATCCTCCTTTCCTCCTGAACTCCACCCCAGATAAACAATCTGCCCCCACCCCCACCACCCTGTAGATGTTCTTTGGAATGACTTGCAGGATTCTCCAGGCTCGACACCATGCACACTTCCAACACTGATGTGCCTGCAACCCAGTCCACACCAGGCAGCTTTGGGCCTCTGCTGTTTCTCTTGCCAGACAGAACTTCTCAAGACAATTCCGCAACCCTTCTCCAGACTAACTCCTCAGAACCCTTAAGACTCATTCCAGGCATGATCTCCTCCCAGAAGCCTGTGTCCGCTCCTCCTTCCTTTCCCCAGACAGTTTAGCTGAAACGTTTTCAGGGCTCCCATCTCTGTTGTGACACTTTGACTCTTCTGCAGAATTGTTTATGTGCCTGTCCCCTACACTGGTTTATGAGCAGGGATCACATCTCACCCATCTCAGAAATTCTAGTGCTGGTCCCGAGGCCAGCCTGTGGCAGGTATTCGAGAAACCTTTGTGCTGGAAGCCTACACAAAGTCAGCGGTCAGCATTACAATGCACGCCTGGTTCTATTTCAGAGTTTGCTCACCATGATATCTAGGTTACAAGACTGCTTTAGAAGGTTCCCCAAAGCCTGGGACAGAGGTTCTCCAGACTTAGGAGCAGAGAAGCCTCTGCGAGCCGCCCGACAAGGTGCAGCTGGATCCAACAAACAGTCCGTTTTGACGAACCAGATGCCACCTGCTTTCTGTCACACCCTCGCCTAGATCCTGAGCTGCTGGGTTCCCTCCAGCCAAGTGGGGGTGGCTCTCAGGCCTGTTCTGAGCTCTTCCCGTAGGCCCTGACAGGAGAAGGAGCAGACTGGTGAAGGAGGGACAAAGGGTCAGTCTGGTCAAGCCAGCCTCATGCATAATCTGGAACCTCAGAAACCCCTGGGCCTTCTGCCATGAGCCTGTGAGGGGAGGGACATCTGCCTCCTCCCCTCTAAGTGGAGGAAAGACCCAGAATGAGGGGGAAAATGCAGGGAGGAGCAAGGGGCATTCCAAAAGATTCTTTTCATCCTTCTCCCAACACGGATGCAGCCCTCACTGGCTGGCAGGTTTGAGGGCTTAGCCAGGACAGGAAGTCCGAGCTCACAGGGCTGTGGAATTTAAAGATCTGGTAACCGGTTAAACAAGCAATTGAGGTGAGGGGCCAGGGGTCCGAGGCTTCCTCAGCTGGCCTCGACACCTCATAGACGGGAAACTTTGCTTTCTCAACCGGGACTCCACTAAGGTCCTGATGATCAATGAAAAATACGACGCACACATACCCTAAGAGAAGAGGTCCACATCACTCATATTCTCAAAGAGGACTCTGAACAGTTCTAAGAACCCCTTCACTGGACTGTCTGCTCCCTTACTGAAGTAATGTGTGTTTTTCCTCACTGAGTCCTCCAGGCTGACCACAGGGCTTAAAAGTGCCTGCTGGATTCTGTTGGATGCGGATGGGGGCAAAAGGGGTGATCGGTAAGGTGCTGGATAGCAAGACTCTCAGACAAGCAAGGGTCAAGACGCGGGTGACCCCAGGGCCTAGCCGCCGTCCTTCCCTCCCTGGAGTGGAGTCCCGTTGCTCAAGTTCTTGGGTGGTTTGGCACCCGCCAGCACACAGGGCAAATATGTCACTACGCAAAGCAAGTGTGAAAAGGAACTTCCCTCCTGACCTCAGGAGAGAATAGCCTGAGAGGAGAGGAGCCGGGAGCCCTGCTGTCTCCAGGGCACTGGGGGCGAGGGCTCGATGAGAAGACGCGGCACTTGTGGAAAGCACCAGGAAAAGAGCAAGCTGCCCGAGCAGGGAGCCTCTGCATTCCCCGGACACCAATCAGGACCGCTCCGCTCCGGGCGGGCCTGGGGGTTAATCAGCAACAGCGCTGCCGTCCTCCCGCAGGCAGGCTGAGAACCGCTGGACCAGCCACCGACTGCGCACAACCTGCAGCGCGGGCCCAGAGGGTGGGAGGTGGGAGCTGGGGAGCTGGGGCCGGCTCCCACATTCGTCAAACTGCTCAATGGTTGGGAATACTGCAGCCAGCTGACGCCAGGTTGGTGCTTGGAATCTGCTGTGGTAGAAATTACAAATGCTACAAATAAATAATAGTCCTCTTTTTTTCCCCTTTCCAGAGAGCGAACTGTTAAACGTTTGCCGGCACAACACTGCTAAGAACCCACTCGGACTGAGTCAAATCTGATGGAGGAGCCGGACAGCTACCACCAGCATGGAGGACGCAGGCTACACACGAGCTGGGGACGACACCTCACACCTGCCCTCTGGTCCAATATGGGCTCTTTCTCCGGTTTCTAATGCTGGGAAACTGGCCTCCCAGGAAGGACATCACCATAGTCTCATCAAATGACATCCAAACTCTTCTCAGCAGTCAGAGAGACACAGCCATGGGGACACCCCCACCAGAGGGGCCCTGAGCCAGCGCTAAGGCCAGCCTTTCCCCACAGGACATGGCCTCTCAGTTCCCAGGAGCCCTTTTCCCTTTGGGCTCTGGAGGTGTCCCCATATGGCACCCCCTGTCAAACCTCCTATAAAAACCCTTTGCTATTTTCGGCTCCCAGGTACCACCAGCTCCCAGCTCCCAGGAATGGGGCTGCAATTAAGCGGCCACACCACTGCCCCGCCCCCCCGCAAGCCTCTACCAACAGCCCTTCTTGATCCACAGCCCAGAGGCCAAGCACAGACAGCCAGGAACACACCTACCTGGCTGGGCCCCCTCAGGCTCATCACACCCTGGGGAAACAGAAACATGCTGCAGCAAAGGGGTCACCCGGGGCCTGGCTGGGAGCGGGTCCCCCCTGCTCTGCCTGGTGTCTTGGCCACACCAGCCAGGAGGATAGAAACTATGTTATATCTCATCAGATACCCACCCCATGCCCCAGGCAGGTCCGTTTAGGGAAGTGAGGAGAGAAACCTTCTGAAACCTTCGGGTGACTCTCCTGTCCCCAGGTGAGGATCAGGCCCAGAAAGAACTCTCAACCTTACTTCTGCAGGGGTGAAAGAAGCCACAGCTGAGGCCTCCGACTCAGGCCAGGGCAGGCAGCAGGAACACAAATGCCACGGAAACACTGCTGACATGAGGGGCAACTCTTTCAACGGCCCCGTCCCTCTTGGACCCTGGCATTCAGAAGAGCTAGAGTTCCCTGTGGCTTCCCTATGGCCAGATGCCTGCAGGGCCCCCTTAGCCCGTGCCACTGGGCTCCAGGCCATGCGCTGCCTGGCTTCCTCTGCCTGCCCCAATGCCTCAGTGCAAGGCCATGCTGTGGCTTACAGTTGCCTGTCCTCACTAGTGAGGACAGACAACCATTAGGGAAAAGACAAAGAATCCTACCACTCTGGTTTCCTCTTCTAGTAGTAGTAGGACCCTAAGGGCAGAAATCAATCACCAACATCCTTGCTACCTCCCCTGCTCTGCATTCTGTGTTACAAACAAGAAAGTGGGAGCTCACTGAGGCCTAGCCCCAAGGGGAGCTCCATACCCACGCTCAGCACAGTAGCACATCTGCCAGAAACCTGATGCTTCCAGGGGGTCATGGGGCCCCTCACTTCTAGAAGGAGGCTCTGCCGTTCCAGACTTCCTTGGAGGTAGGTTTTTCACCAAAAGGAACCAGTACCTCCCTGGTCCCCAGTAACTGATGGGGTGGAAAAGTGGACATCAGGGCAAAGGGAAGGGAGGTTACTAGCAACTTATTCAGGGCCCATTATGTTCTGACTCCCGGCTAGGCCCTGACAGACATTTGCTGCTGTAATCCTCTCGGCAACCTTGTGAGGAAGAAATGAGCTCAGACAGCAAAGCTGGAAACAAACCACTCTCCAACTTCAAGGCACAAAGCCACATTGCCTCCCACATACCATCAGCCAACAGAGACAACAGGGTCAGAGGTCAGGATGTGACTGCCGGGGGAGAGACCAAGCAACCATCACAATCAAGTCTGTGATTTTAAAAAATTGTACTCAGGAGCCCCAGGGTCAGGGGTGAGACCACAGGAAGGGTCCCTGGGCCCCGCCCCAGCCCCATCTTTCCCCCTGTGGCACGAGGGCCAGGCTTCCTCAGGCTGGGAGTGCAGACCAGGAGGTAAAAGGTGCTATTGTGGGTGTGCTCACCTGCCACCTCCACAATCTGGTGCCGGGCGATGTCGTAGTAAGGGTCATCCCACTTCAGGTGAGTGACAGGTTCCGGAGAGCTGCTTTTGGAGTCATCTGTGGAACACGGCAAAGTCAGGGGATAAGCTGGGGGCACTGGCAGTGTTCTCCCTGAGACTCGTGTTCTCTGATCTTCCCCTCGGTGGGACCTGTGCTCCCAGCCCTACCCTGCTTGCCCTCCTCTTGCTCCCCTGGGGTCTCCCTTCAATAGGAAGGGAGTCTCCCCTTATTTTTTTTTTTTTAATATTTTAGTTTTTTATTTGACAGACAGAGTAGTCAGAGAGGCAGGCAGAGAGGGGGGAAAGCAGGCTCCCCGCTGAGCAGGGATCCCAACGTGGGGCTTGATCCCAGGACCCTGAGACCATGACCTGAGCTGAAGGCAGAAGCTTAACCCACTGAGCCACCCAGGTGCCTGGAGTCTCCCCTTCTAAGGCATGGAAGGCCTCCTGAGATCCAGAAGCGCCCACCTGACTTAGGAAAGTCGGGCATTTCGTCCGAGGGCCAGTTCTTCTCATCAATGGAGGCGAGCTTCAGCTGGTTCAGAGCCTGGCTAGTGTCATCCAAGGTCAGGTCATCCTGCAACTCTGAAAGCGGGTCCATGACCAGGCCTGTCCCCCACAGCTTCACTCCACAGGACCTGAAGAGAAACCGGGGGTGGGGGGGTCAAGTCAGGGACACCCTCATCTCCCTTGTACCTGCTACAGCAAGCCCTCCTGCTCTCACTCATTCCTCCCCCAGCCTCCCCTGTTCCTGTTCCTCAACGCATCGCATCCTGGCCAAGAGCTCCATGTTGCCCCGGATTCTCCACAGTTTAGGCATGTTGCCAGAAAAGGCAGCTGGGGCAGAGGATGGTGCAGCTTGGGGCCTGCCCTCAGGTCCTCCAGCTGGCTAGGGACAAGCCGTGCCAGGCCCTGTGCTGCCCACCACCCATCTGGTACAGTCATGCAGTCCCAGCCGCAGAGGGTAGAAAAGTCCATGCCCCTCTCCTCAGGGGTCATTGTGCACAGAAGCGTCCCAGGCGCCAACGGTTACAGAGGTGAGATGTTGCAAGCATCTAAGGTGTACGGGGATGTTCCAAACCCCCTTTGTGAAAAAGGTTAATTGTGGCTCTGGCTTTTGGCCCAGGGAAGAGGAGGTGGCCAGAGACCCCAGAGTTCCAGAAGAAAGGCTATGGTTGAGGTGCCCAGCTGCGTCTGCACCAGGACAGAAAAGGCTGGTGGAAGGAAGCAAGGGCTGGAATCTGCCTGCCAGGCACAGTAGGCAATCTGCAGCATCCTGGGGGCTCCCGAGCCCACTCCTATACGTAGGGAGCTCCTGACACCAGTTTCAAGATGGGAAAGGTCAAGACACTGCCCCAAGGATTGGCGAAGCACAGATGGGGAAGGCGGAAGCCCACAGCATCCAGAGCGCTGAGTCACAGGAGGTGAAAACCAGACCCGTAGCTAGAGCCGACTGAGAGGGAGAGGAGCCGGATGCCAAAGCTGGGTTTGCCCAGGTCTGGGGCTGGTAGTAAGGATGTGGCTGCGTGAAGCCCCAGGGCAGCAGCTTCTTCTCGGATTGGATTCAGTCCACTCAGTGCAGCCCCAGAGAAGAGGCTGCTGTAAGCCCACTACATTCCTGGAGTCCAAAAATGACATATATGGTCAGAGAATCGGCAGGACAGATAAAGAGTGAAAACAAGACCAGCCATGGGGAGGGAGAAGAGGGGAGAAGTGCCAGCTAGGATCCAGAGCCTGAACACCTCTGGGTTCTGAGGCAACATGACAACCTCCGGCACACGTCACCTCACAGCTGAGGACTCTGGATGGTAAACCGGCTCCCTGTGCCTAGCAACAACCACCCTGTTACCAGGGCAACCGCGCTGATTCAGTGGCAAAAGCCATTCCAAGCTCCTGAGCCAAAGCCAAGCAGCCAAAGAGCCAAAAGGCTATACAAAAACCAAAAACTGAAAAACCTTTCTCTTCCTTTCCTCCAGCCTCTTACCCTTATTCCCTCCTGCTGCATACCACCAAAACGTAAGTCCCTTCCATGAGCGCAGAGAAAGATGACCCTCTTTTATTTGGGCACGCACTTCTCCCAGTGAGTGCTGCTGTGCCCCACGCCCCATCTCACCCACTCCCTTCAAGCCTCCAATGCAGGCAACCCTAAGCCGAGGAATCCACTCCTGATTCATCACTCCTTTCCCCGTTCAGCCAGATGGCTGTGAGTAGTCCCCCAAAAGGGGACTCCACTGGGTAACTGGGACGGAATTCAGCTCACAGTAACCCCCGTTAGGCCTGAACCTTCTCTCTGCGCCTTCTCTTCTGTCACTGTCCGGGCACCAACTGCCCATTCGCCCTGCCCACAGCTACCCCAAGAAGTCTTTCCGCACACCGTGGGTGTCCGACGCAATGAAAAAGGCAGGAGATGAGGTCTGTGGAGAACTGGACTATAGTCCTGCTTGAGCCAATGAGTTGCAAAGATACTGGGTAAGTCTTTTTCCTAACTAGACTTCAATTTCCCTATCTATAGAAGCACAGGCTCCTCCCAGAAACAGAACTCTCCAGTATTCTAAAACACTTGCACTAAAGCGAACAACAGGATTAGAAGGAACAGCTGCACGCTGAAGTATGTGTGAGAGGAGAGGGACACCCTCTAAAGGGGAGTTGGACTTGAACGCCACCTCTTTTCCAGGAACTCCTCCACTACTTTGTCTGTTCTTCAGAGCTGACCACTGCTCCCATTCCATAACCTCCTTTTCCAGCAAAACTAATCACAGTTGTTTCCATCTCCCAGCCAGACTGGCCTCCAACCCATAGCTGCTTCCCTCTGGGAGTCCTGAAGTTTGGCTCCCTCAGTGGGAAGGTGAGGGAAGCTGGCTTGGGGAAATTCTAATTTAAAGTGGTGGAAATGAAGTATCCTGGCCGCATAAGGCTCCAGACACCTACAAGCCCTGTTTTGCTCTGTGCAAAATATTCCCTGCTCTGAGATTAGTATTTCCCTTCTGTAGAGGTAAAACACCTACTTATACAAAAACCTTTGAGAATCCTTCTAGGCAGAGTTTTTAACCTCTGGACTTCTCTGGAATTCTGATGAAATCTGTGGGTTTTTTCCCTAAGAAAACCCAGCACACACATGAAATCTTTTATGCAATTTTAAGGGGTTCACAGTCCCTCTGAGAATCCATTTAAGACCCCCTGACCTATTCAGCACATAGATGCTGTCATTTGTTGAATGACTGAATGAATGAAACCATCTCCTAAATGGAGAAGAGAACCAGTATTTGTTGAGGGCCTATGTAGCACCATAAAGTAGACAAATTATCTTTTAACTTCACAACAGCACCAGTGAGGTTTACTACTAAGTCCATTTTACTCTTAGAGGAAAGTGAGGACCAGAAAAAATAAGCAAATTGTTTAGGTAGGTCATACAGCAGAGTCAAAATTTTAATCTATGTCTGTATAAGGTGGTCTCTCGACACAGGTCAATTCCTCAAAACTTCTCTAAATGAGTGTCATTCATGTGATTCTGAAGGTTCAGAGAGGGCCCATAAAAAGATAAAGTAAAGCCTCTCCCCTTATCTTCAGGAAGAGCTCAGATAACAACTTGAAATCGTACTCTCTGGCACTGGAATCATCCTCTTGGTTGGGGCCCCAGAATTGCGAAAATGCAAATCTCACGACACAATAGCAAGGCTTTCAACTACAAGTGCGTTTGTCCAGAGCTTCAGGGTTTATAAAACCCCATACTGGGTGTAATTATCCCATTGCAGAGATTAAGAAACAGAGATGAAACCGTGGCTTAGTTAGTGGCAGGCTGGAATACTTCCCCCAAATTTCTAGTTCTTAGAGTTTCGCCAGATCGGATCAAAGAGACTTCCCCTTCCCATCGGCTTGCTAGATGACTGCGATCTGACCTGGACTCTGCTCTGGGAAGTGCAGGAGGAAACCAGCGAAGGAAACTCAGTCCCGTTACTGCAGACCCGGGAATAGGGCTGAATCCCTGCAGTGGGAAAGCCAGGATTCTAGGCCCCATCCCACTCCTGCTCCCACCCTCGGATCTGCTCGGATCATCCCCCTCCGGACCCTGTCCCTTCCGGTGACCTGTCTAGTCCCTGCCTTTTCTCCCCCCACCACCCAGGAAGACCCCACGCCCTGCAGCTCACCGTGGTCGGGTACTGCTCCCTCTGCCACGCCTGTCAAAGCTCGGCAAACATCCGGCTCCGCAGTAGAAAGGGAACCGCCCCCTCCCGGGTGCCCCACTCCCCAACCACTTCCGCCACACCTCCGACCCACTACCGGTTCGCTGCCCGGTCCATATATGGCTTTCCAGGATCCCCTCCCACTTCCTGCACGTGCCGGCCTAAGTGCCGGGGCGGGGTGGGGGGGGGGGGTGGAGGGGTTCGAAGGGAGAACAGCATAAGTGTCCGACCCGTCCCTCCCAAAAGAGGTGGTTGGAACAATTAGTTCCGCTTTTCTGATGCTGGAATCCCTGATGGTCCTCTGGAATCCTATGGTTCTTAATGTTCCCGGACGGAGTTTTGCCTCGCCGGTATTCCCCAACTCCCAGATCTGTGCACCTATGAGTCTGACTGTTAGCATTCTTTCCCGACGGGAAATTTGGAAGCCAATGACTGTTTCCGGGAGGAGCGAAGAAGAAGACGTTCACTTCCGGCGGAAGGAGGCTTTTCTGGAGGGATGGAAGAGTCGGAGGAGCTGCTCTCTGAGGGCGAGAAACTGCGGTTGGGTTAGTGACCCGCGGTGTCTCCGACCCTCGGCCCTGGTCTTTGATAGACTTAACGTTCCCTGCCTGGTCAACTCTCTCTCTACCACAGGCACTTTTCTTCCCTCGCCCGGGACCTTTCACCGTGCCCTCAGAACTCTCTGGGGACTTTAGAGTCCTCAAACCTCCGATTTGTCCACGTAGAGCCCTTACAGATCCCTCAGACTGCCGAGGCCTAACCGGATCTGCGGTTTCCCCTCGCACCTGTCCCCACGCTCACGACCTCGCGGGCCGTCCCCTCACTGCCTCCCCATCTCCCTGCAGCTCCCGACCCGCGCCCGGACTTGAGATGGATCCCTTCTGGACAAGGCTGTGCTCGGGGCCTCAGAGACTTCCCGCCCGGGCTGACCCGGGCCGTCCTCGCTCTAAAGAGCCTGCCCCGGGGCTTGGCCCTTGGCCCTTCACTCGCCGAGGAGCTGCGCTTAGGGGTCTGGTGTGTCGGGGCCGCCCTGCAGCCGGGACTGCTCTGGGGGCCGCTGGAAGAGGAGTCTGTCTCGGAGCAGAAGGGTGAAGAAGTGAAACCACGGCAGGAGGAGGTATTGAAGGCTAGGACTTGTCTTCTCCCTGACTGAAATTTTGGAAGCGGTTCAGTCATCTCTGGGCCTTCTTCAGTTCGTTAGAAAAACCAGGGTACTTCAAGACGTAGGCCATAGTTTTGGCCCTCCGCTCCAGGACTGTCTCTTCCCCTCACGTGCGGTAGTTAAGGAAGCAGGTGCAGAAAGTTGCTGAAAGCCACGTTTAGGGTCAGGAGTGACGAAAGCCAAGAGCAGAGGTGTTTAGAATTAAAAAGCCGTGGATTCAAATCCCAGCTTTGTCACCTAGCTGGTGAAATGACGGGTCTCATTCAACTCATTTATAAGATAAAGGGATGGCCGGTTTTTTTCGTTATTTGAATCTTGGGGGGTTATTTGGAGCAATAGTTGAGATAGTGCAGGTCAAGGGTTTCGTTGCATAACAGGTCTTAAAAAGAAAAGATGATGTACCTCTTACTCCTTCTTTTTGGTTGGTCCTCGCTGGAAGGCAGTATTGTGTTCCATTTAGTAATTCTCCACACAGTGGGAGGGAGGTGAGGGGGGTAGTCTTTTGCTCTTCACTTGCTGAAACATCAGACAACACAGTCCTGTAAAGGCAGAACCAGAGACCATTAACCTTCCAGGGGTTTCATGTTAGATCTGTCTCAGGAAAGGTTACATGCTTCCCCCACCCCCAACCCTGGTCCCCCCAAACACATGGGAGAAGGACTCTTATTGGTTTATTTCAGGACGTGTCACTAGGCCCATGGGGAGACGTGTGTGCTTGTGAGCAGAGTTCAGGCTGGACCAGGTAAGTTCCAGGAGAGTATGTAGTGAAGATGGTCCTTTTTGAGGCTTTCTGTCATGGCATGAGACAGAACCAGAAGCCCGCTGTAATCCCCCACCCAGTGAGTTTTTGCAGTGAGTGTTCCAAGGGCACGGGGTCTTTAGGACTCGGCCTGCCAGCAGCTGGGGCTTTAGGGAGGGCCACCTGAAGAGGGTCTCCTGAGCTAGCTGTTCCTCTGCTTTGCAGTTTGGTGCAGCGGGGCAGGCTGCAGAGTGAGGGGAACGTGGCCCCGGTGTGGGTCAGCGAGAAGCTCCATCTGCAGGTGTACCGGCTCGTACTGCCGGGCTCTGAGTTGCTGCTGTGGCCCCAGCCTCCCTCCGAGGGCCTGAGTCCCACCGAGCCCGGCCTAGAGGAAGAGGCAGCCGTGGCTGTGGTGACGGAAGTGGACTCTGGTGTTCAGCAGGAGGTGGACTCTCCGGGGCAAGATGCGGCAGAACCTTGGACAGGTACGTGGCAAATAGATGCTAGTTTCTCAGATTACCACCAGAACACCCTGTTGACAAGACAAAAGCAAAGCTTTGGTTCACGGAGATAAAGGAGAACATTAAAGTGTTAGTAGGTTTCCTGAGGGGAAGGGGGAAGCCTGAGTATTTATTGACATTTTGAAGCCTGGTATAAGGTGGGTCTTTCAGTGTGGAGTGGGGGTGGGGCTTGACGGGATTGAATAAAGGATCATGACATAATTGTTCAGGATCCATGGACCCCAGGCTAGAATTTTCAGGCAAGAGGCTCAAAGAGTCTTGGGGGTATAACCTGTCTTTTGATGCTTTCTGTTGCAGAGTATGGGTCTTTTCCTTAGAATGAACAGTATCAGTATTTGCAACTTTTATCTTCCAGAGTAAGTTTTCTGGAATAGTAAGGTCATGTTGATGAAGACAGCAAGCTGTGTATAAGGTTTCCAATTTCTTATGTTTCTTCTACTTGGGGTGGGGGTGGAGGTCTGTTTATTTTCAGATGAGCTGAGGTGAAGAGATGGTGGCCTGATTCATCCTAAGTGTGTGTCTTTAGAGGGAGAATAGGGACCTCTGGGGTAGCCTTCTCTAGGACGCTGGAGGTTTGGAGCACCATGGTTCCCAAGAGTGCTTCCCCAGGAGGCATCTGAGACTGGACATGAAGATAAGCACAGCCTGTGGTTCATGTTCCAAGGAAGAGATTGGTGTCCTTGCCCCTGCTGAAGTTAGGGACTGAGTAGGAGGAGACACATATTCTTAAGATTTCCTGGTAACACCACTGCTACCGCCTGTTACAGTTTCTCCTAACCCTAGCACCCTGCTCTTGTTTTGCAGATCCTGGTCACCAGTCACCCCCCAGCGTTGAGGGAGAGAGTATAGTAAGCCCTGGACTTAAGCCCCAAACCCAGGATCAGCTTTCCAAGAAGAGCCAAGCACTTGCTCTGCCCCCTCAGGATGGTGGCAGGGAGGAGGAGGACCCACCCCAGACACAGGAGCCACCTGAGCCTCCGAGCAGCTCTGCTCCCCAGCAGGGCCCAGAGAGCAGTGAGGCCAGTTGCTCGTCTTCTGCCAGGGGCAACCAGCTGCATGCTTACCTGGTCAGGAAGTTACGTGGCCCCTGTGGTCAGTGCCCGCCCAGAGAAAAGACCTCAGAGCCTGGGGCCCAGCAGGCTGAAGAACAGCAGCCCTCTGGCTTCCCTGCACGCTTGCGGAGCCCTCCTGGCCCAGCAGGAAGCTCCCCAAAGCAGAGGCGGCGGTACCGCTGTGGGGAGTGTGGCAAGGCCTTCCTGCAGCTTTGCCACCTGAAGAAGCACGCATTTGTGCACACGGGCCACAAGCCCTTCCTTTGTACTGAGTGTGGCAAGAGCTACAGCTCTGAGGAGAGCTTCAAAGCCCACATGTTGGGCCACCGCGGGGTGCGGCCCTTTCCTTGCCCACAATGCGACAAGGCCTATGGCACCCGGCGAGACCTCAAAGAGCACCAGGTGGTACATTCAGGTGCCAGGCCCTTTGCTTGTGACCAGTGTGGCAAGGCCTTTGCCCGCCGACCCTCCCTGCGGTTGCATCGCAAGACCCATCAGGTGCCAGCTACCCCTGCCCCGTGCCCATGCCCTGTGTGTGGGCGGCCCTTGGCCAACCAGGGCTCCCTGCGGAACCACATGCGGCTCCACACGGGGGAGAAGCCCTTCCTGTGCCCGCACTGTGGCCGGGCGTTCCGTCAGCGGGGCAACCTGCGTGGGCATCTGCGACTGCACACAGGGGAGCGTCCTTACCGCTGCCCGCACTGTGCGGATGCCTTTCCCCAACTGCCTGAGCTGCGGCGCCATCTTATCTCACACACCGGGGAGGCCTACTTGTGCCCCGTGTGCGGGAAGGCCCTTCGAGATCCACACACGCTGCGCGCTCATGAGCGTCTGCACTCGGGAGAGAGGCCCTTCTCGTGCCCCCAGTGTGGCCGGGCTTACACGCTGGCTACTAAGCTGAGGCGCCACCTCAAATCCCACCTGGCCGACAAGCCCTACCGCTGTCCCACCTGCGGCATGGGCTACACCCTCCCCCAAAGCCTCAAGCGGCACCAGCTCAGTCACCAGCCCGGGGCACCCGCCAGCCCACCCTGTGTGCCTCCCACTGCTTCTGAGCCCACTGTGGTACTGTTGCAGACTGAGCCAGAACTAGACACTGGCAGGGAACAGGACGTCTCCGCAGCCCGGGACGTCTTTGAGGTCACCATTTCTGAGAGCCAGGACAAGTGCTTTGTGGTACCTGAGGAGCCAGGCCCTGCCTCCAGCCTGGTGCTCATCCATAAGGACATGGCCTTCAGCGCCTGGGCAGAAGTGGAGGTGGAGACAGGCACCTGACCCTCCCCCCAACTCCCCCAGGGGAGCTCTGTATAAAGCTAGCGTTTTCTAGCTGCTGGGCGTCTGCGTCTTTCTGTTTGGGTTGCCTTTCTGTTTGGGTTGCCGGATGGAATTTAGTCTACTCTGAGAAGGAGGGGAAGGATTTCCCTTCCTGTTTATGGACCACCACATTGTTTCCCGACTGTAAGGTAAACCTGTTCCAGGTTTAAGAACTCCTTATTGAGCTCAGTAGAGCTTGTTCTGCGGCTTTCCCCAGGAGCTCCTCAAGGTGCTTGTTCTTTAAACGTGGCAGAAGTGACCCTCCCCTCCCCCATCAGATAGT